TTGTTTGTTTGTTCATTCCTTCCTCTTTTCTTCCTCCCTTCTCATCCAGCTGTGCTCAGGAGTTACTCCTGGCTCTGTGCTCAGAGATCATTCTTGGTGGGGTTTGGAGGACCATATATAGATGATAGAACCCAGGTTGACTGCATGTGAAGCAAAACCTTACTCACTCTACATTCTTCTGGCTCTAGCAGTTTCTTTAATTAAAATAATCAACATTACCATACCTAAATGTTACGAACAATTTCCTTAATGTCATCCAAATATCTAAATATATTAAGTCCGCACTTAATGCTGTGGGTAGGTTCTCGAAATCTGCAGCTTTAAGCTGCAGCTTTGGGGGTGTGGGATTGGGGATTGGGGGCACACCCGGTGGTACTCAGGTATTATCTCTGGTTCTGTGCCCAAGCTTACTTCTAGTCGGGCTTAGGGGACTATGTGTGGTTCTAGGCATCGAACCTGGGTGAGTTTGATGGAAGGCAGCTGCCTTACCTGCTAGACTCTCTCTGGCCCCAGGACTTCTTAAAGTCCTCTCATATCTTTTTCCCTCTCCCAGTATTTGTTAAAATACTGGCATTATCCTTTGATTGTCCCATGTTCTAGATTGTTTTGGTCATGCCCTGATACTGTCATTTAGCAGAATCCTTTGCCCCCTGTATTTCTGAAAATTGGTAGTTATAGAGATTTGCTTGACTTCAAGTTATCAACTCATTTATGAAGTTCTTTTACTAGCTGGTGTCATACTTAAGTAGCCAAAGCCACAGTAGCACATAAAATTGAGATCTCTCATGCGCTCACTTATATGAGCAAGCTCCTCTGCTCCCCTGCCCACCCTCAGCCCCATTTCTTGAGGAAGTTTGGAAGAGGAACTGAAGTGGGCCAGGCAGCATATCAGCTTTACATACAACTATAGCTATAGGACACTTGTGGTCCCTGCCTGTCCTTTGGGGATAGCAGTCAGAAGAAGCAGACAAACAGACAAGATTATTACAGAGTATGACCCATGCAGGGAAAGAATCCTATAACAACCAGATGGCTGGATCAAGAAGTTGTGGCATAAATACACAACGGAATATTATGCAGCTCTAAAAACAATTTGCCATGACATGAATGGAACCAGAGGATATCATGCACAGTGAAGTCAGTCAGAAGGAAAGAGATAGATACAGAATGATCTCCCTCTATGTGGGAGCTAAAGATACACAGCAAGGTAGCAACAAAAGGCCAAAGGCAACAATGAGAGAACTGATCCACACAATGGAGTTGGGGAGAAGTGGGAAGGAGAATTTTTGGGGTCCTTGAATGAAAGAGCAAGCACATTGATGGTGGGTGTGTTCTTGGAATTATGTTCATGAGCAACCATATTTAATAGTATTATGCACCACAGAATTTCAGTCAGTAGAAATTATTTTGAAAAACATTGGAGTTCAGGGACTGGAGTGATAGTACAGTGGGTAGGGCATTTGCCTTGCACATGGCTGACTTGGTCTGAACCCCAGCATCCCATATGGTCAGTCCCCTGAGCACCACAGGATTGATCCCTGAGTGCAGAGCCACAAGTAACCCCTGAGCATTTCTGGGCATAGCTCCCCCCCAAAAATAAAATAAAAATCAGAGTTCAGGGAGTGGGGCAGGGTAAGCAGAGGGAGCCGACTTAGGAAAGTTGGTATAGTGGTGCAGAGTGACATCACAGAAGGCATCAGTTCTGCTGAGTCCGGGAGAAAAGGCAGTCTCGCAGATGCGTGAGGATGGCAGCGGGTGCTGGAAGTAATAGAGATGGGAATGTGGCCTCTGTGTGAGAGGTCAGATGCACAGGACGTGGTAGGGAGAAAGAAAGAAATGAGCCAACTTCCAAGTTTCCTGATTTATACAGATGAGTGAATGGCGGTTGTGGTGATGTTGCTGGTGCTGGAGTGAGTCCCTCACAGGGCCCCGTTTGGCTGGCCTGGAGCCAGTTCTATGTGTGTACCTTGCCTTCCAAGTGCTTTTGGTCTCTTCCCTTTACTTTCTCTGCCCTTCTATGAATTTCTCTATAGCACTTTTAAGAAACTGAAGAAAGGAACAGGCTTGTGGGAGCATCACATGCTTAACAGATCTGTGAGACTGAACCCAAGACAGAAGCATGTTTTAACTGTCAAGTCAGAAGTATTGGGCAGGATGTCTAGGGAGAGGCAGGTTTACTGGGAAAGAGTTTTAAGTTGTTTCAGATGAAACTTCTAGACCTTCTATATCTGCCCTTTATCATCTTTGTTCATAAACATATATTAATGGGGTTTGAGTATGCAGTAAAATTGGCTCAAAAATAAATCCCTGAGGGGACAGAGTACAGTGGGTAAGACACTTGCTTTTTTTTGGGGGGGGGGGATGGGGGTCACACCCGACTTTGCACAGGGGTTATTTCTGGCTCATGCACTCACGAATTACTCCTGGTGGTGCTTGGGGGACCATATGGGATGCTGGGAATCAAACCCGGGTTGTCTGTGTGCAAGGCAAACACCCTACCTACTGTGCTATCGCTCCAGCCCCATGGCACTTGCTTTATGTGCCAACCATCCTAGTTCAATCCTGGAATCATATATGGTCCCTTGAGCACTGCCAGGAATTTGCCAGGAATATGCAAAGAGCCAGGAGCAAGCTCTTAGCATCCCAGGGTATGATCCAATACTCCTTCCCTGCAAATAGATCCCCGATACTAGTACCAACGATGGCTTTCTGGTATTCATCCAAAGCATGTGCTTCATGATATTTGTCTAAAAACTCAATTTCTAAAGCATCTGTTGTAAAAAAGGGAAACATTCCTGTGCCCAGACTCAAAATAAAAGAACACTCCAGGAGTGTTTTTAGAATCAACAGACTGACTGAAATTTCACTAGAAAACTCCTTTTTCAAACGCAGTTGTCTGCATGTCGTCTCCGTGTAGATCGCATCCCACTCACAGCTGGTAATTGCCAATTCTTGGTGGCTTGAGAAAGTGAGCTGTCTCCCACGCTCCCACACACGGCCTGGTGGGGGCTGTCTGCTGGGCCCTGCTGGAGGCGGGAGGGCAGCTGGGCAGAGACCCTCCCCTGCGTCCCCTCTCTCAGTACCTCTCCGCGGCTCAGTGTTCTCCAGGAAGCTTGTTCATGTGGGCTGATGAGAGGAATTCTGCTACCTAAACAGTTAACAGTCCATACAGTTTGGCAGGAAGGGAAAGTTTTGTTCAGTCCATGCCAAACTCCCCCCAAACTCTCATTCCTTTCTCATCCGCACCCAAATGGGTTTCACCATGTCAAACTTATCCCCCAAGTTCCTGAGATGTTTTTGCAAGGGTTAGGTCTTTGGTGCCTCACCCTCTTTCCTTCCCCACCCACCCCCTCCTCCGGGAATGACATGACGTGACCAAAGGGCACAGCTGTGGGAGGAGGGAGGGAGGGCAGTGAGTGACCTGGAAACCCACAGGCCTTCTGGTCAATTCCTGAACAACGGAGGCCCCTTACTGCTGTCGTGTTTTTCCACCCAGTAGCCTCTTACAGTACAAACTCTGTTGTTTAGTGCACATTGGATCAGGGATCTTTTAAAGGCATACATTCATTCTTCTTCTTCTTATTATTATTATTATTACAATATTGTGTAGTTATGATAGGGTTGAAGTTTATGGTACCAATATACACAATTGTTATAACCCTCCACCACCAAAGTGTCTGTGACCCTCTACCACTGTCCCTAGTCCCTTCAAGTCTGGTTTTATTCCCTCCCCCCCCCCTACCCCTCAGCACTGTTTGACCATTGTGTTTTGTATTCCAATGCCAAGGGTTTGTCGGGGTTTAGTTAAGTGCAGAGACTTGAAGTGGAGAAATGCTCTGGGGTGGGTTTGTGTCCTCATAGTGTTGTGCACCAAGAACAAAGAGACTGAGTGGGTCCATGTGACAGTCTTAACTTGACTTTGCAGAAGACCCATGGGCACCTGTCCATCAAGGGGCTCTTTGTCCCTTTCTCCCTTTCCAAGGAGTATGGATTTAAGCTGGGGAGAAAAGCCATGGTTGAAAAAAATATGAGGTATATAGTTTTCTCTCACTATGTGTTTTAGGAATAAGGATTCTCACTTATTCAGCTGTAAGATGCCACGCCATGTCTGACTGGCATTTTTCTCAGCAAAGAAATGTATTAATAGTGGTTAATCACAATATAGGTCTCTGCTAGGGTTCTTCAGAGACATAAGTATTAATGAGATACCTGGTACATGGCAAATGTTCAGTATGTGCTGATATTATTTGGTGGCATCCCTTAATTGAAATTAATGATACCTTTATTTCACATAAATTCTCATTTACATCTTGACTCATGCTTACTGCTTCCTTATTGTATTATATGTTGGAGCGATAGCACAGCGGGTAGGGTGTTTGTCTTGCATGCGGCTGACCCGAGTTTGATTTCTCAGTCCATCTCGGGGAGCTCGGCAAGCTACCAAGAGTATCCTGCCCGCATGCCTGGCAAGCTCCCTGTGGCGTATTCAATATGCCAAACATAGTAACAACAAGTCTCACAATGGAGACATTACTGGTGCCCGCTTGAGCAAATTGATGAACAATGGAACGACAGTGTTGCTACGATTTTCTGTTGGAGTTATTCCCCTTGACCTTCTGGACTGTGAGTGCCTTGAAAGCAGATATTGCAAATGATCTCTCTTTCGTTCTTGTAGCACAATCTTGGTAAGTCATGGTCAGTAGTCTTCTGAGTAAATCAATAATTACTGAGTAGTGCTTTACAAGCTACAAACCATGAACCCCTGGGACACCTGGACTCAAAGTTGAAGACTCTTACCCAGGGCCTAGTACCTGGTATATACCAGACTCAGGGTTTTGGATTTTCCCCCTTTCTCCTGCCTTTGAAAAGAATGCTGGGGTTTCTGCTTTCAGCTCACAGCACCTGTAGGTAGCAGAGACAACATTCTTGAGCATAGGCTATGTCCCCCTGAGGGAGAAGTTATTTTCTGTACTCCTTCTAACGACACTGATTTTCTCCAGGTAACTACAAATGGCATCATTGCTATGAGTGAACCTCCAATGGAAGAAACCCATCCTGGACTCTTCCCCCCAACATTTGGCATAGTGGCACCATTCCTGGCAGACTTGGACACAACCGATGGAATTGGGAAGGTTTATTATCGAGAAGACTCATCTGCCCCTGCCCTTGAGCTGGCAGCTGACTGCATTCAGCGAGGGTTCCCAGATGTCACCTTCATTCCCAACAGTGTGGTGGTCGTCACTTGGGAGTCTGTGGCCCCCTATCAAGGGTCAAGCAAGAACCTTGCCCAAGAGAATAAGGTAAGCCTCACTAGGCACCAGTATAAATAGTCCAAGTGGTTGGTATTATGGTTTGTGCTACCCTGCGGTACATCATGTGTATGAATTTGATAAAGAACCCCAGATAAAAAAGATACCCAAACCACAATCGTCAGGACTAGGTCTTAAAAGTCAGAACCTTTCAAGACGTTGTGAGAATTTATATACCTTTGTGTAGTGAGGTTTGGATGTGAAGAAAGTCAGTTGCTGAGAATTGCTATAGGGTGAGCAGAAGGTTGATGAATCATAACCTCAAGATGTCCTTACTTTAGGGTGGATTAGAAGGAGGTAGTTTCTAGGTAAGGTGATAAGTTCTTAGCATGAAATGATAAGATAGAACAACAGTCCTACGGGACCTGAAGTAGTGCAGATGAGGCTCACGGTACTGCTGGGGAGAAGAGAACCACTTGCTTATGTGAGTGGTTCAGAACATAAGTGTGCCCCTAATTTCATGGAAGGATATCTGTGGACTCGGGTCAAGAAAGAATGCAAAGATATGGAGATATCTAAAAAAATAAGTATAGAACTCCTATGTGACCCAGTGATGGCAAGTCTTGGCATCTGTCCCCAAAATACAAAAAAAAAAAATTCATTTTTGAAAGGATAATGTGCACACCTGTGTTCATCACATCACTTAATACAATAGCCAAGAAATGGAGATAACCCAAATGCACAAGTGTGGGTCAAGAAGTTGTGGTACATACGCACAATGGAATACCATGCAGCTATAAGAAAGGGCAGAGCTATGCAATTTCTTGAAAATTGGCATGTATGGAACTAGAGAATATTATACTCAGTGAAGTTAGCCAGAAAGAAAGATTACATGGTAATCTCTGTCATATGTGGTACTTAATAGACATAGCAAGGTAACAAAATAGGGCCAAAGGCAACACAATGAGAGAACTGATCCACACAGTTGAGTGTGGGGGGTGTCGAAAGGGAGGGCCAATGGGACCCTTGGGGACAGAGGTGAGTACTCTGGTGATAAGTGCGGCATTGGGATTATATACCCTTTTTTTGTAAAAAAAATCACTGAAAATATTGTAAATCACAGAACCTCAATCCATTTCTTTTTAAAGTTAGAAAGAAAATATAAGGCTGCAAAGGTATGAACCTACCCTTGAAGGAAAGGAAAGGAAAGAAACTTTCTAACACTGATGTGACTGTTTAGAACAAGTCTCCTTAGAAAAATAATTTTATTCATTGTCTGTAGAGATGGTACAGTGGGTAGTTGCCTTGCACGTGGCCAACTTGACTTCAATCTCATCATTCCATATGGTTCCCCAAGCACAGCCAGGGGTAAATTCCAGAGTGCAGAGCCAGGAGCAATCTCTGAGCATCGCCGGGTGTAGCCTCAAACAACAACAACATAACAAAAAGATAATAATTTCATTAATTCATTCTCCCCATTATTTATTTTATAGAGGCCACTCCCAGCAGTGCTCAAGGGAACTGGGGACCACTCCTGGTGATTCTTGAGCTGGCTATGCAGGTCCAGTTAAGTGTTTGATCGGGCATGCTCAGGTATCACCAGGGCATTGGGGGATGTATGCTCAGAAGGATGTGTGGTGCTTGGAATAGAAGTCAGGGCCTCCGGGTACTAGAGAGATAGTATATCAAGTAAAGCAATTGCCTGGCATGTGACTGATTTAGGTTCGATCCCCTGCACTGCTTATGTTCCTTTGAGCACCACCAGGAGTGATCCCCAAGCAAAGAACCAAGGTAAGCCCCGAGAAAAACCAAAACAAAAATTAAAAGAAGAAATCAAAGCCTTGGGCATGCTCAGCCTATGCTATCCCACCTAGGTTGGCCCCTATTGAATTTTTATAGGATTATGGGATAGAAAAAGTTGAACTTGAAAGCTCCACAACCTCTGTTGAAATACAAGGTGCTCCAATCTGGTAGTTTCCAAAGTGTGTACCAGAGAATAACAGTCCTCTAAGAAAGTCATGGAGTTCCAGAAGCCTCGGCAGTCATGTCCACATCCCGAAGCTTCCATCCAGTTAAAAAGGCTACTCCAGCTGTACCTTCCCGATAAAAATACTGAACTCCCTGAACTAACACAATGACCACCTAGTACTGTATTTTTTTTCTGCTTTTTGGGTCACACCTGGCGATGCACAGGGGTTACTCCTGGTTCTGCACTCACAAGTTACTCCTGGCGGTGCTCAGGGGACCATATGGGATGCTGGAAATCAAACCCATGCCACTTGCAAAGCAAACACCCTACCCACTGTGCTATCACTCCAGCCCCGACATCTAGTACTGTATTGCAAACCATAATGCATAAAAGGAAAGAGAGAGTGAAAGAAGAAAAAGTGTCTGTCATAGAGGCAGGCTGGGGAGACAGTGAGTAGTGGTGGGAGGGAAACTGGAGACATTGGTGGTGGGAAATGTACACTGGTGGAGGGACGGGTGTTGGAACATTGTATGACTGAAAGCCCAATCATGAACAGTTTTGAAATGGTCTATCTCACGGTGATTAAATTGAAAAAAAAAAGAGAAAAGAAAAGAAAGGAAAGGAAAGGAAGTCCTGGAGAAAAAAAGGCCTTCCTGGCCTGATTAGTTTGGGAAATCCTGAAACTATACCTTTCTCTTGAGAACTCAAGTTGCAAAGTCCTGCAACTAAGAAAAGTTAATTTGAATTTAGTAGTCTCCAAATCTTTTGGTCATACCCTGCCTTCCTCCCCAAAGAAAACATATTCTAGCCCAGGGAACACTCTTTGGGAAGGTCTGTTATGGGGCCTGCATGTCGCCTGCTGGCTGTCTGAGTGCTGTTCTTGAAAACTGAATAACCGTTGGTTGGCATTTCCACCGTATGTGTCCCTTCAACCTTAGTGTTTAGCACCCAGTCCCCCTGTCCAGAGCCCTTTCTGATCTCTTTGTTCTGATCTCTTTGTCCTCACCTTTATTTTTCTACGCATCCTTTTCAGCAGCTGTAGCACTGTAGCACTGTCCTCCCGTTGTTCATCGATTTGCTCGAGCGAGCACCAGTAACATCTCCATTGTGAGACATGTTGTTACTGTTTTTGGCATATTGAATATGTCACAGGGAGCTTGCCGGGCTTTGCCATGCAGGCGAGATACTCTGTAGTTTGCGGAGCTCTCCGAGAGTGGTGGAGGAATCGAACCCGGGGGTCGGCCATGTTGGCTGCATGCAAGGCAAACTCCTTACCCATATAAAAATCAAATTATTTGCATTTCCCTAATTTTTTTAAAAAAAACTCTGTTTACTGTACTTGCTGTCTTCAGTTGTGAAGTCTTCTTAGCCCTTTCTGCAGGTATCATACTCCTGCTTGTTCCTTCACACTCTGATAGCTTCTGCCCCTCCCACCTCCCCAGCCCCGCGAGGCCTCTGTTGCACTCACAGACGCCTCTAGTAAGGAATCAGTCCCTGCTCTGGCATAGTTTTGTTCACACCTTCCTATCTAGTAGAGCATGAATTCTCTTGTGGGTGGGGCTATGTAAGTTTTTCTATGTAGCTCAGTGCTCAAGACAATGCAGGCACCTAGGAAAGGTACTCACCTTTAAGGAATGCTTTCTCTGTGCTTGATCCTTCCTAGGTTAGCTAACTTGATCTTATAAAAATATTTATGAAGTAGATGTTTTTTTCACTCTTATACATAGAGAAATTGACACTTAGAGAGCTTAAGTAGCATGATCAATGTCATATATCCAGTGACAAGTAGAGCAAAGATGTGTTTAAAGCTTTTTTTTTTTTTGCTTTTTGAGTCACACCTGGTGATGCACAGGGGTCACTCCTGGCTCTGCACTCAGGAATTATCCCTGGCGGTGCTCAGGGGACCATATGGGATGCTGGGAATCGAACGTGGGTCAGCCGCGTGCAAGGCAAATGCCCTACCCGCTGTGCTATCACTCCAGCCCCTCTTTTTTTTTTTTAAGAAAATTACATGGTTCTTAAACATACGCCAAATGATGAGTGTGATTGATGTAGTTAATGGTCACAGAGAGAAATTCTAAGGATAATGGGGCTTGAGAGAGAATATGAAGATATAGGTGCTTGCCTTGCACATGGGCTAACTGGATTTATCCTGGGTAGAGCATATAGTCCATGGAGCACTGCTAGGAGTGACTCCTGAGCACAGAGCCAGGAGTAAACCCTGAACACAGATAGGTGTGGTGCCAAACAGACAAATAAAGTAAATTCTAAGGGTAAGGTTTTAGATCACCATCTGTAGGTAGCACTGCACTGTAGTACTGTCACCCCATTGTTCATCGATTTTCTCGAGTGGGCACCAGTAATGTCTCCATTTGTCCCAACCCTGAGATTTTAACAGCCTCTCCTCTCGTCCTTCCCAACTCGCCATGTTGGAGGCTCTTTCAGAGTCAGGGAATGAGACCCTTTATTGTTACTGTTTTTGGCATATCAAATATGCCACGGGTAGCTTGCCAGGCTCTGCAAATCAATAGATGAGTGAATAAAAAGATATAGTTACTTATGTAATGGAATACTATTATGCTACAATAAGATGGAATTTTGCTGTTTAAAAAAATGGGAAAAACTTATGGGAATTAGTTGAAACAAAACAAGGGTTTTTTTGTTTTTTTTTTTAAAGACAGGTATTGGGATGGTTTTTACCTATGTGTGCAGTATGTGGATATAAAATTGATAAACAGATAAAGCAAGAGAAAAATAAAAATTAGTGGCATTAATAAAAGAATTAAGCTTAATTGATGATACTCTTTATAGTTCTGTGTAATTTTTGATGATGACAATCATATAAAAGATGTTCATTGGTTAACTGGAAAAGTCCATGTTGACACCACCCTAGAGATGTTTAACTGGAGCAGGCTGGGAATATTTGACTCTTGTTACCAAGGTACTTCTTTCAGAGTTAGGTAACAATATTGTCATCTCTAGGCTTCTTAGATATAGTTTGGTGAATAACATATTTCAAGATCTATAGCTATGTTCTGGAGTAACTGAATTTTAACTCATCTCTACAGAGAAATACATTCCAGGCTGTTCTGGCCTCCTCGGATTCCAGATCCTATGCCATTTTCCTTTATCCTGAAGATGGTCTGCAGTTCTCTACAACATTCTCCAAGAAGGACAAGAGCCAAGTTCCTGCTGTGGTCGCCTTCAGCCAGGGCTTAGTGGGATTCCTATGGAAGAGCAGTGGAGTTCATAATATCTTTGCTAATGACCGAGAATCAATCAGAAATTTGGCCAAGTATGTTTTGTTTGTTCTTCAGTAATTTCTCTCTTTAATAAAAACATCATTTTATTATTTTATTAAGGCATACAAAAACATTAGGGGCATTAGAGAATATGATCTAAACAAGTTCCTTTGGATTTAAATTTTGTACCGTTTTTATATTGTTAACTACTTTACTTTTATTTATTTATTTTAATAGTTTTATTTATTTATTTATTTATTTATTTTGCTTTTTGGATCACACCCGGCGATGCACAGGGGATACTCCTGGCTCTGCACTCAGGAATTACTCCTGGCCATGCTCGGAGGACCATATGGGATGCTGAGAATCGAGCCTGGGTCAGCCACGTACAAGGCAAACGCCTTACCTGCTGTGCTATCACTCCAGCCCCAACTACTTTACTTTTAGAATGAAGTTACCTTATTTTTAAAATAATAATTCCACCTCTAACAGTTTCTACTTTCTATGAGAATAAAGTTAGAAGGGTCAGAGCATTAGGACAGGGATTAAGGTGCTAGTGGTGCACACCATAGGCAACCCAAGTTCCATCCCCGACACCACATACAGTTCCCAGAGCACTGCCAGGAGTGACCTCTGAGCACGAGCCAGGTGTAAGCCCTTAGTATAGCCAGGTGTGGTCTAAAGACCATAATTAAGTAAACAAATAAATGACTCACTGTCACAGTCCTCCCATTGTTCATCAATTTGCTCGAGCGGGCCCAGTAACGTCTCCATTGGAGACTTTGTTGTTACTGTATTTGGCATATCGAATACATCACGGGTAGCTTGCCAGGCTCTGCCGTATGGGCGAGATACTCTCGGTAGCTTGCCGGGCTCTCCGAGAGGGGCGGAGGAATCGAACTCGGGTTGGCCATGTTGGCTGCGTGCAAGGCAAATGCCGTACCTGCTGTGCTGTCGCTCCAGCCCAAATAAACGACATCATATATTAAATAAAAATGAACTTAGAAATAAAAGTTACTCAAGGTCTGGTATGGAATGCAGTGATAGGATGCATGTTTTACACTTATAAGGCTCTGGGATTGCTCTCTACTACTACTACTACTACTACTACTACTACTATTACCCCCCCCCCCCCCACACACACATGTAATTCAAACATCTATTCTTCTGTGAACCCAAGGCTAAAAATACCCTTTCCTCTGCACCAGCTCCTTATATTAAAATCAGAGCTCTCCTGTACTGTTGTTCAGAATTTGGCAAAAAAGGGAAAACTCAGGCTTGGTTTCTTAAAACTAAATTCTTTTCTCTCCAATTACTCTTCAAAATAAGTAAAAAATAAAGGAGAGTCCAGAGCAATAATACAGTGGCTAGGGCACTTGCTTTCGTGTGGCCAGCCCAGTTTTGCTCCCTGTCACCCTATATGGTCCTCTGTGCACCACCAAGAATAAATTCTAATTTCTGAGCCAGGAGTAACCCCTGAGCATCGCCAGGTGTGGAATCCTTCCCTCTCAAATGTAAATAAATGAATACCAGCTCATAATTTTATATTGCCATATGTACTGATCAGCGTGGAAAAAACCCTCATTTATAAAATTCCATGTTCCCATAGTATGACCCATTTATGGTCAGTTTCCATTCACTCACATCATGTCACTCATCTGGAGTGAAAAGAAATGAACCATTATGTAGCAATCACCCTTTACAGATGCAGTTGATTTTTTTTTTGGTACGTGTGTAGTGCCAGGAGTCAAATCTTGGGCCTCACAGATGCAAAGCAACTAATGCTGAGCTCCGTCACCAGCCCTAATAAATTATAACTTCAGATGTAACAAATTAATAACCTCAAACTTAACCTAAAGAACATGAATAATAGCCAAAAATTGGATGTGCTAAAATTTTTAGTATTATTTCCTTTGCAATAATTAATGTTATATATAAATATATAATTTATTTAATTACACTGTCATCCCATTGTTCATCGATTTGCTTGAGTGGGCCCAGTAACATGTCCATTTTGAGACTTGTTGTTACTGTGTTTGGCATATCGAATACGTCAAGGGGAATTTAATTACAAATTTATATAATTTCATTTTGTATAGAGGTTATATTGAATAACTGGCCTGCAAAATTTCTGAAGTGTGTGTGTGTGTGTGTGTGTGTGTGTGTGTGTGTGTGTGTGTTGGGGAGGGACATATCCAGCAGCCATTGGTCTGTACTCATTACTGACTCAGTGCTAGGGGTCATTCCTGGTCATACTCAGGGGACCATATGCAGTGCTTTAAATCAAACCAGGGTTAGATGCATGCAAGGCATTTGCCTTATCATTTAATTTAATTTTTGCCTATCTCTCCAGCAGCGCTCCCCTCCCAATTCCCGAAATTAACTACCAGCTCCATAAATTAATGCAAACTCCTGCACTTCTGCCTTTACTTGAATTTTAGATGTGAAGATTGATTCAACAACTTCTTTTATGCAAGACCTAAATTCTTGTGTCATCCTTTCACACACCATTCTTTTGTTGGTTTTGTTCCATGTTTTAGCTTTCCTGATATTTTGATTATACCCTTTGACACATAAAGGTGAAACCCGGATCTGTTCTATAGCTATCGGAGTTGGAATTTCTAATAAATTAAGTCTGAAACATTTCCCTTCTTCGCTCTTCTGACAAGTATATGGACTTTTCTCCACCTGCCCCCATACTCACCAATTCTCACAATCTCCTAATATCAGCTCAGTGGAATTCTGACGCAAGTGCCAGGAGTCAGCCTAGATACTATAGATTGGAAAGGGTGCAGTTCCACAAGATCCTCCACTGCTGATGCACTTTGCAGGTACCTGGTTGCCACCTGCACTCTGATCAAGTGACTATAAACTGGGGTTACTCTGACTTCCCTGTTGATGTTTGATTAACTTGCTGGAGGGGCTCACAGAAAGCACTTTCCTTGCCAGTTCATTATGAAGGCTACCACACAGGAATAGTCGAATAAGAGAGATGGATACACAGGGCAAGGTATGGGATGGAGAGAGGGCAAGGAGCTTCCATACTCTCCCGGCTTACTCTTCCCCTCCTACCACCAACTCAATAACTCTACCAACTTTCCTATTGATCTTTTTATTTATTATTATAATACAGGCATGATTGAATAAGTCATGGCTATAGGTGATTAACATAGTCTCTCACCCCTTTCTTCTCTCTGGAGGTTGGGGATTTGGGATGAGGAGAACTGAAAATTCTAACTCTGAAAATGCCCTTCTAGTGGCCACCCGGTATTTTAAAGCTGCTTAGGGTCCCCAGGTATCAGGCATCTCATTCAGCTACAAAAAAAAATAAACAAACAAACAAAACTTCTACCACTCAAGAGATGAGCATTTTAGGAGCATGTGTCAGGAACCAGGGACAATGACCACATATAAGGGATGCTTGAACAGCAAAAGGTTTAATTGCTTACATCCACATAGATGCAGATAATTGTCTGACCTGGGGGATCCTTCACAAATTCAGCTAACAACTAATAGAGGTTGATCAAATCAGAAGCCAGAGATGAGAACTGACTCTAAGGAACTTGTGGTCTGTGGAGTTTAGTATTTATGGGCTGTGGTCCTGAAACTATACCCCTCTCAGGCAGCAGAGGGATGACTGGAGTTAAGTTTTGGGGTAGGAAGAAATTTGAAGCAGATTTTTAACTATGTGGAGAGGTAGCCATGCCCCTAACCCTCATTACTATTCAAGGGTCAACTGTATACATTTCTTGCTGTATCATACCGTGCAAAGAGAAATACTGGATTAAGAGTCTAACAGAAAACAAGCGACTGTTCCCAATAGAGAGCTCAGACTGGAGGGCATGAGACCAACAAGGAGTAAGAGAAGTTGCTTTTTAAGACATGGCAATTTCCCTAGAGAGCTCCTCAAATAAACCTCTGCTGGTGTTGTGCCCACATGGATGCAGTCTTTCCATTTGGAGTTAGTTGCCATGAATGATCTCAGCTCTGACGCCCAGACATGAAGCCATTCTCTCCCTCACCGCACAGCCCTGGCTACAGGCAGATTAGGGTGATGGAGTTCAGATCGTCACGGATCTGCGAGGATCCTTCTGCTTGGGGCCGCTAATGAATTGTTGGCCTAGTTCTGAGATATCTGTCCTTTCTCTTAGGAGCAGCAACTCCGGGAAGCAGGGCATTTGGGTGTTTGAGATTGGCAGTCCCAACACAGCGAGCGGTGTGGTGCCTGCAGACCTGAACCTGGGTCTGTATGATGGAGAAGAGTATGAAGATGATGATTATGACCTTGTGGCACGCCAGGATGTGGAAGATTTAGGAACTACAGCCTTCCCCTATGCATCTGCCGGAAGGGGAGACAGTGGTCCATACAAGTCATCTAGAGTTCTCACCCCGCACCACCTGGCTACTGTGAGACCCCCAGGACACCGCACGGAGAGAAATGCATCTGTCGAGTTACCAGTGGAGAGCTTCCCCCAGCAGCACCCACAGGTCATTGATGTGGATGAAGTGGAGGAGACAGGAGTTGGTAAGGCTGTTTAAGTAGCAATGCTATATGCCACAGGTTCTTGAGTTTCTATTCAGGCAAACTATTGAGAACATGGTCTAGGGTTAATGGTAGTTGGTGAAAATGAAAATTTGGGAGCCAGGGGTGGAACTGCACCGCCTGCAAGCACGGGTGATGGATAGAGCTGATGGTTTCAAAGGCTCCATGTGATCTTTGGGGTTTAGAACTGTGTTTATGGAGACTCTGGAGGGATTGTCGTCTTTCAAGTTTTCTATTATTCCTTTTGTCTACTTTAAAGAGAAAAAGTAGTTTCAAATTATTTTGAAAGTCAGATTTTCTTATTTGTGACTTCTGGGACCAGAAATAATATTCGCCCACCTGAAAAAACATTTTAGAAGTTCCTTTGGCTATTTACGCAGCTTATCTTTGACATTTATTTCCTCTCGGTTTTGGAAAGAGAATAGTTGATTCTTTTCGCTCCAAGGGCTCGCTCCAAGTTAGTTTGTGAAGGCTTAAAAATTATGAAATAAGTAGAGCCTTTTTTAAAAGTTAGTTTTTGAAATGTAATATTTTCTAACTTTTTGCGACGTTCTGAGGGAGAACAATTGAAACTCAGCATGCCTTGCTTTTGTGTTGAATAAGATGTTCAAACTGAGATGTTTATTTTTGGCTCTGCAGGGTGACATTAAGTTTTATAGAAATGGGCTACAGCCTTATAGGCTGAGAGAAACCTTTAAGCGATGTTTTATATGCCTCTTTACTCTTTGTGCTATGAAGTTATAGACCACTAAGGAAAAAAATCTTCTCCATTTACAGTATTTGCTCATTTCTACTTGTCTTATAGCAATAGTCGTTTTGTTCTTATTGAGTGTTTCCAGACATGGAAAAGAAGTGGGGAATGTGGAATGTGCTGCTTATTTTCTGAGGCACTGAAATGGGTGTGTTCTCCTTCAGTGGTATGATGAAGACATGACTTTGTCTTGGAGCACCCTCTTTTATCCTGCACCCTGAATTTCCTGGGGTGATGAAAAAGGCACTATCTTTCATTACTAGATTTCAGTGTGGCCTTCCCTAGATCTTTGGTTGCTGAGGTGAGTTTTGAGGCCCATTCTAGACTCCTCCTATCTAGAAGTGTCCATTTGCGAAACCATCACTATGAAATGAGATCCAGTAACTTTGGGTTATTATTGTCTTGACTATTAACTGCCTCGAGATGAATCCTAAATGTGACTGAAGCCTAGTTTTCTATCCCTGTGTCTCAGGCACTTCTCTGTTTTTGTTAGGAAGGATAGCCTTGTTAGCCGTTTGAATGCTGCTGTTTGAATGGTCACCTGCAGATACACAGGCTCTCACGGACCCTGGGAGCCAAATCCCACAGCTGGAATGGAGGGCCAGCAGGATGCCAGGTGTTCAGAGCCCAAGTGCTTTCTGCTCCAAACGCTCTTTATACATATTAGAAATTCCCTTCAGAGCTCTATAAGACATTAATTCTAGTACTATAGAATAAACCAATCTACGTGAAGTTTCACTTTACTTTTATCTTCACTTGTAATGGTCAACTGTAAATTGGATCATTATCTTCTCTAAAAATTTCTTCCCTTATATCATTTGGACCTCATTCCAAATTAATGTGTTTCAGGTTTGTTTGTTTTGGGGCCACATCAGGTGATGCTCAGGGATTACTCCTGGCTCTGTGCTCAGGGATTACTCCTGGCGGTGCTCAAGGCACCATATGGGTTGCTGGGATCGAATCCTGGTTGACACTATGCAGGCAAATGCCCTATCTACTGTATTATCTCTCTGACCCCCTGTTTCAGATTTTAAGAGTAATGAGCCAAGGAGGATGAATTTTAAAATAGGGATAAATTATTTTTGTATCTGGGCAAAGGCTTTTAGATCAGGAATGACAGGGGCTATTTCTAATCAGATTTTTAAAATACAAGTGCTTTGTGTTACCCTTGAAGTGAAAAGAGTAGGGAGAAAAAAATTAAAATTTTTTTTCACTGTATCACTGTATCACTGTCATCCCATTGTTCATCGATTTACTCGACCGGGCACCAGTAACATCTCCATTCATCCCAGCCCTGAGATATTTAGCAGTGTCTCCTTACTCGTTCTTCCCAACACTGTCGTATTGGAGGCTCTTTAAGGGTCAGGAAAATGAAACCTGTTATTGTTAAAAAATGTTTAAGTTGATTAAGGCAGTAAGTTTTATTTGACCACAGTAAAAAATAGTTTAAAAATGCATAATATATATATATTATATGGTTCTCTCTCCTCCTTTATGTAAAACCTATCCATCTGTATTACACTAGATGAACACTCTGATTAAGATTGATATTAATTGGTAACTCAATATAGTCATTAGAAACTAAACAAAAAAAAAAGATTGACATTAAGGTTCCTGCAGAGATAGTATAGTGGGCAATATGCTTGCCTTGCACATAATCAACCCGGGTTTTATCTCCAGCATTCCATATGGTCCCCCAAGCACCACCACGAGTTTCCCTGAGTACAGAGGCAGGTGTGAGCCCTCAGTACTGCCAGTTGTGGCCACCCCTCATCCCAAACAGATAGATATTAAGGTTGATTAATGATAGTGTCCTAATACTGATTCAGTGAGATGGAGTGTGTGGGATTGGTGTTTTCATTTGTGTGAGGTGGGGGCGGTTTAGGAGGCATGTTGACCAGTGCTCAGATATCACTCTTGGCACCGTATGTGGTGCTGGACTCAGACCTGGGTCTGCTGCATGCAAGGTGCATTGTTCCGGCCCACCCTAGTTTTTTAATGACACTGGTGATTTTTCAAGCTCCACTTAACCCTTCTGCCTTGGAGGTTTGAATCATGAAGGGCGGAAACAGCTACAGCATGAGTCCTATCCCTGAGTCGCTGGAGCAGATATGCAGGCGTGGGGGTGTATACCATTCCATTGTCCTTGCCAAGTGCTTACTTGTCTGTTGTGTTTTCTTTGCACAGTTTTCAGCTACAACACGGATTCCCGCCAGACATGCGCCAACAATCGGCACCAATGCTCTGTGCATGCGGAATGCAGGGACTTCAGCACAGGCTTCTGTTGCAGCTGCGTGTCCGGCTACATAGGCAATGGCCGGCAGTGTGTCGCAGAAGGTACTTGGTTTTCCTGGATTCAGTGGGTGGTGGGAGAAACAGAAGTAGTGTGGGTTTGGGTGCGTGTTTCGAAAGGTGTGTAGGTAGATTGCTTTGTGACCTAGCTCTGCAGAGCTCGGCGGCGTTTCCAGCAGGGGAGTACCATTTGCTATCTCAGCACAAGGGATGTTGTGGAGAGTACACTTTACTCTGAAAAGGGGGGCTTCTTTCTTTCCCATGCCATTATTCTATCTCCGAAGTGACTGTCATTAGGAACCTATCTTCACAACAGCCACTAGCAGGGAAGCACTGCAGCTGGGGCCAAGAACGGGGAATGCCAGTGACTTTCTTCTGGAATTTTCTCTCCAATCTGATGTTTGGCTTTGCTCACAGACAAAACTGCCCTTATGTTTGTTATACCCCATCAGGGCTACGTCGGACTGGCCCAGATGAAAATCTAAAGCCCGTTCCATTCACTCTTACCCTGGGGGTTTCCTTTCCTTATGTCCTGGTTAATCATAGCCTGTTGATGGCTGAGCATCAGGGGGGCACCAGGGTTCATTTGTGACTCTAAGTCTTTTATGGGGCTGACTTCAGGATGAATTCAGAGCTGTGTGTAGCCTGTAAAAGACCAGTCAGTCCCCATGCCCTCAGATGGAAGGATTCCAGCAGGGGGGTTAGGTAACAATGGATTCTGAGTGAGGCTCTGGGGCCTAGGGCCATCCATGACAATGAGAACAACTTCACTCTTCCACTGGACATTTGTCCCTTCAGATGTCAAGTCACCTCTCTTGCCACGGGTCATTGGTCCCCTGATGTGCTTAATGAGGAACTCCACTTGCTTTTCAAAATTTGAACAAATAAAACCCACTGCGGGTGCAGTTTGTTTTTTGATTCCCTGCCATTGTCCCATTTAAATCAGTTATTAAAATTTTTAATTAAAAACATTTTTTTTCTGGGTCACAGTTAGATAAAGTGAATTCTGTAAATGAAATTCTGTAAATTCTGTAAATGTAATTCTGTAAATTCTTCAGCAGTGAAAGAAACCTTGAGTACTTTTTGTATTACTTGGGGAGGATGTTTTTAACTTCTAAAATGTGTGTTCTATTTCCTTCCAAACCCTTCCACCCCAGGGGTGGTGTGCCTCTGCTGCTTTGTTTTAGACTTGGCTTCTTACACTTTTCCACCCTGGGAGAGGCTTCCAAATGTACAGTGAAAGCTTTTTCTTACCCAGCAACCTCCTTCGCTCTCTCCAGACCAAATAGCAGAGCTGGCTGTGCTGAGTAGTTTGGAGTTGGCAGCAGGCTCAGATAAGACAAACTGTTGGGTCACATATTATGACATTATATCCACTCTGGGTAATTGTTTTGTGGGCTAAATATTTGTTGGATTCTTGCAACTTTTGAGACATTTTTTAGCTCAGACTTTGGTGAGAAACAATTTGTTCACTTTCCTTAACTTGGCTTTCCTGCTTGTTTCTGTACTTGTTCTTGGGATAATTTCCCCCCCGCCCCTTAGTCTTCTAGCCTGACAGCAGACCCCAGAGGGATGGATAACATGGTTGTGTGTAGAAATACTTGGGATGTTGAGTATGTCTTGGCTTCTTAGTGATCCTGTTCAGCAGCTTGGGTGTTGTGAACATAACCAGAGCATCTAAGAGTAATCCGCAGACTTTACTGAGAACTTAGCACACATAGAAACCCAAACGGAGAGTGTGAGCATTCTGACATTATTAGCTATAGTCTAGAAAGAGAGATAAGCTATATACAATCAATAACTGGGAGAATTAATTAATTAATTAATTAATTATTTTTGCTTTCTGGGTCACACCCAGCAATGCACAGGGATTACTTCTGGTTCATGCACTCAGGGCTGGAGCGATAGCACAGCGGGTAGGGCGTTCGCCTTATAAGCGGCCAACATGGCCGACCCGAGTTCGATTCCTCCGCCCCTCTCGGAGAGCCTGGCAAGCTACCGAGAGTATTCGATATGCCAGACACAGTAACAACAAAGTCTCCAATGGAGACGTTACTGGGCCCGCTCGAGCAAATCGACGATCAACGGGAGGGCCTTTACCTTTACCTTTACCATGCACTCAGGAATTACTTTTGGTGGTGTTTTTGGGGGACCATATGGAATGCTGAAAATCGAACCTGGGTCGGCTGTGTGCAAGGCAAACCCCCTACCCTCTGTGCTATTGCTATATAGCCCCATCTGGGAGAATTTTAAATTTGGCCTTTCCACAGCGGTAGGGCATTCGCCTTACAAGCGGCCAACATGACCGACCCGAGTTCGATTCCTCCACCCCTCTCGGAGAGCCCGGCAAGCTACCGAGAGTATTCGATATGCCAGACACAGTAACAACAAAGTCTCCAATGGAGACGTTACTGGGCCCGCTCGAGCAAATCGACAATCAATGGGAGGGCCTTTACCTTTTTACCTTTTACCTTATTTATATCTTTCTCCTTTTTTTTTATTTTAAAGACTATTTGGTGGTTTGCAGTATATTCACTGTTAACCTGTAAATTTTAGAAGCCTCTAAATTTAGAAGGTTTATAGAATTTTCTCTAATTTTAGAATGTTCTTAGAGGTCTAGAAGGAAACCTGTATCTACTTAAAGTCTGTCTCAATCCTGCTTGTGTCCTATTATCCACTAATCTACTTTCTACCACTATGGGTTTTGTATTCTGCACATTATACTTTAAGAAATCATACAATATGTGACTTTGGTGTTTGATTTATTTCACTCAGAACAATGTTTTTAAGGTTCATCCATGTTTTCCACATATTGGGAAATTTCATTCTTCTTTTTAAAGTTAATTAATATTTTAGCTGCATAGATATACTGTATTCTATTTATGCTTCACTTTATGGTCATTTGGGTTATTTTCCACTTATAAGTAATCTCTTAAGGACATCTGTGTATATGGTTTTGTGTACACACATGCTTTCTGTTTTCTTGGTTATATATTTTATATATATATAAATTGGAATTGTTGGGTCATAGAGAAACCTTCAGTTTTCTTCTATGAATATAAGAACAACTTCATTTCTCTAGGTCCCACTTTTCCTGATTAAACATATGTGAGTTCAAATATTTACATGTTATAGAGCTATCCAGTATAGAAAATGAAAGTTCACTATGTTATGCTGAGTTAGCTACTCTTGGCAGTTTTATATACAATTCTTTAGCTACATTTAGATAGCATAGATTAGCATAGTTCACATTCATTAGTAATGAGAACTTTGAAACAAAAATTATATTATGCTGAAGATAGACTTAACAGATGATCTAGTAATTCCTCTTTTAGATATCTTTGTGAAGAATATAAAAATAGAAGTTTGAAAAGATAGGCATGTTCCTACACTCATTGCAGCACTATTTGCAGTAGACAAGATAAGGAAACTACCCAAGTGCCTAGCAATACTTGAGTGGATAAGGAAGATGTGCTATATAACCACAATGGAATAGTTCTCAGCAGTAAGGAAAGTTGAAGCCTAGAAAATAAAAGGGAAATACAAGAAAAAATGAGGTCTTGCCTTTGTGACAATATGGTGGAGTTGGAGGGTGTTAAGTGAAATAAGTCGGAAGGAGAGAGAATCATGTAGCTGATGGTGTCATTTATTATGTGGGACATAAGAAACAAAGCCTTGCTAATACACCTAACTTATTTTTTTTTTGTTCCCAAACTAAACTTTGAATTTTGGTCTCCTTCCCCGGGTTACATGGGCTAGGGTGGGGGAGAGATAAGGCACATGAAGAGTGGAGGAGATCAATGACAATGGTGGAGGCGTATCAGTAATGTAGGCATGGTGCGAACTCTCCAGGGGGTGTGCAAAACTAGTCCTGAAACATATACCATAGTGAAAACAGTGCTGCCTCATTAAAAAAACAGGCCAGTGTCCTACCTAGGGTATTTGACTATTTGTGACAATTTGCCATAGTGTATCTCTCTCATAGCTTTCCCTGTTTTCTTTCTTTCTTTCTTTCTTTCTTTCTTTCTTTCTTTCTTTCTTTCTTTCTTTCTTTCTTTCTTTCTTTCTTTCTTTGTCACACCCAGCAATGCTCAGGGGTTACTCCTAGCTCTGCACTCAGGAATTACTCTTGGTGGTGTGGTGGTGCTCGGGGGACCATATGGGATGCTGAGAATTGAACCTGGGTTGGCCGTGTGCAAGGCAAATGCAGCTGTGCTATCACTCCAGTCCCTTTGTCTTAATTGGAACAATCCACAGCAGATACTGTCCACAATTTGGTTTTGTATTGGAGGGCATGCTCTGTGGTCTCCTCAAGTCTGCTGTCTGCCTTGCTCACATGTGTTCTTAGTTGGGCTTTTTTTCTGTTACACAGAATAAAGCTCTGGGGTACAGACTGGCAGTCTTAATCCTGGTAATAAGACTACGTTTGAGCCAGAGGTGCTTATTAAGTTGTGTTACTAGACCAGACAAATAAATAACCCAGATTCCCAGAACATCCAATTTAGCCCAAGATCTTCCATTGAAAAAATTCATTCTGTCCATTATACTTTCAGGAAAGATCTGTTTTATCACTCTCTCTCTCTCTCTCTCTATATATATATATATATAGAGAGAGAGAGTTCTAGATCACTCATGATGGAGTTCCCCTGAGATGATTTTATTTAGCTCTGGATTCCTCCATCACAAATGGCTCCCCTTGAAGCCACTTCCATGACACCCATTTACAGCCAGCATGAAAGAGAGGGAGAAGACTGGGACTTGTAAAACTCACAGACATGGGTACAGTCTTTTTGGGAACAATTACTTCTGCTTATCCCAAAGGAGTGTGGCATCTCTGTGTTGTAGTTACAAGTCCTACATACATTACTCTCTTTTTAAAGGATGGCTTTGTTCTTTGTTTCTCACTTAGGTTCCCCCCAGCGAGTTAACGGCAAGGTGAAAGGAAGGATCTTTGTGGGGAACAACCAGGTACCCGTATCCTTTGAGAACACTGACCTGCATTCTTACGTAGTGATGAACCAGGGACGTTCCTACACAGCCATCAGTACTATTCCTGAGACTGTGGGCTATTCTCTGCTTCCTCTGGCCCCTGTTGGCGGCATCATTGGGTGGATGTTTGCAGTAGAGCAGGAGGGATTCAAGAACGGATTCAGCATCACAGGTAACTTATTATAACAGTGAAACTAATGTGAGGTATTCAATTGGTGGTGGTGATGGTGGTGGTGGTGGTGGTGGGGTATTGTAGACAAACTCTGCTCCCCTGGTTTTCCTAGCTCAGCCCCTGACCCCACCCACCATAGATTCTGGTTGGGGGCCAAGAAGCAGCTTCTCTCCCTGTGCACAGCTCTGTTGGGCTCCATGGGTGTCTCAGCTCCATTCTCAACCTCACCAATCCTATTTCCACCAACCAAACACTGTATGTAGCAGTGATGGAAGCCCGCTCATCCCTGTCCCCCAGCCCACATCCAGACATGGCTCTGTGAGCCTAGGTGGCCATCAGGGCAGTTCTCTTGACAGCCAAAGTGACGACTGACTTTGCTTTCCAGGGGGCGAGTTTACCCGCCAGGCTGAGGTGACCTTTGTGGGGCACCCGGGTAAGCTGGTCATCAAGCAGCGGTTCAGTGGCATTGACGAGCATGGACACCTAACCATCGACACGGAGCTGGAGGGCCGAGTGCCTCAGATTCCCTTCGGCTCCTCTGTGCACATTGAGCCCTATACGGAACTCTACCACTACTCCCGCGGGGGTAAGCACCTGCTGCCTCAGGACCACCCAACTCTGGCCATGGGCCCCGGACCAACCCACCTACACCTGCCATAGCCTTGGGCTGGTGCAATATCTTGGGCTTTGCAAAAGGAAATGCACATGGTGTTGCATTATTAAAATCGCCTTCCCCCCACTAATTACAGGTGTGACATACTCACTGTAGAGACTTTAGTTCCAAATGGACAACAAGAAGAGCCTAGCTCTAATGAAACTGGGACATCATTATTGTTAAATTCAAAATGTATGTCCTTTCAGCCTTTTCCCCAATGTATATATAGGAATGTTTCAACATACACATGCTATCCCAACAAAAACATCTCAACATGTTAACATTTTAAAATAAAGGGCTATAATTTTATCTTTAGTTCTGGAATATAATGCACAGCATGGATTTTAAATTTGTATGTCACTTAATAACCCTTCAGTTTAATTTCAGACTTACAGATAAGTTTAAAATAGTACAACTTCTATATGCCATTTACCCAACTTCACCGGTTGCTTACCTTCTTCCCACTTTTACTCTAGCATTCACTCGCTTTCTCTCTCACCTGTTTCAATTTACTTTGCAAAGTTAGTTGTAATCATCATGATACTTCACCTCCTAAATACTTGATGTATTTTACCAAAAAGTATGTTCTCTTTCATGGTGGCGGTACAAAGATCAGCATTAGTTCATTTAACATGTATGCCACACTACTAATTTTCCAGATATGTAATTTTTATTTAAACAGAATTATAATCTTATCACAGTCTTATATCTTCACCTTTCTAATTAAAACATCAAATCATGAATTTGTTTTGGGACACATCCAAGTCACTCTGGTGACTGTGTAGTGCTGGGACCCGAACCTAAGACTCCTGCATGTGAATCATGTGCTCCAGCCCTCTGAGCCATCTCCCCAGCCTAAATCAGGAATAGTTTATAGTTTAATTAGCTAGACTTTAGAAATACTGAAATTAATCAGATTCTTCTCTTAGATGACTCTTAAACCATTTTGTTTACTAAAGTTAAGGTTATTTCAGATTTTCCCTTCTCATCATGTGTTGAAAGACCATCATGTGTTGAAAGACCATCTTCTTTGTAAACCATAAAGACCCAATTCCTAGAAATTAGAAGGCTAGCGGCAAACAATAGGAGCTTTCTCAAAGGCTCGTTTGAAATTGCCATCCAGAAAGATCGTACCAATTACAAGGCTTTGTGCCTTGATTGGCTCTCCTGGCAACGACAAGACTGTATTAAGCAGGAGGTGGAACTCACAGCAAGATCCCAACCCACAGCAGCCTGCGACCAGATGGCGTTTCTGGCAGCCCAGCACGTGGGAGCGGGATGAGAGGCAGCTTACACTAATCTTTTATTTATCCTCTGGCTTTTATAATGAGTCACAGCAAAGCATACAAATATAAAGAGTCCTTTATACTTTGTTTTTTTCATATAGGAAGTTGAGAATTTCATCGTGAAGGAGAAAAAGCTCTTCCAAGTGGGGGACTCTGTCTCGTCTCGTCTCTCTCTTGGGGTTTACCCAGCACTTTAGTAATTTTTCAAAACTGACTACTGAAAGCCACTTAATGTCTTATTCATTAATATCATAGGGTTATACCTAGGAACTGTTGTTTATTAAATCTTAGGTGAGATCAACTATACATAGCAGTTGGCATTCTGCTTGTCATGATGAAAAATGCTCCATCAGTTATAGACTTTTTTTTTGCTTTTTGGGTCACACTCAGCATTGCACAGGGCTTACTCCTGGCTCATGCACTCAGGAATTACTCCTGGCGGTGCTCGGGGGACCATACAGGATGTTGGGAATTGAACCTGGGTCAGCTACATGCAAGGCAAATACCTTACCCACTGTGTTATTGCTCCAGCCCAGTGGTAGATTTTTTTATGTTGTTTTTTGGGCTTAGTGGTGCTTAGAACTTACTCCTGGCTCTGCACTCAGCAATCATTACTAGCAGACTCTGAGGACCATATGGGGTGCTAGGGGTTGACCCTTCTCAGCCACGTGCAAGGCAAGCACAATACATGCAAGGCAATCACTACCCTCTCTCTGGCCCCATGAATGGCAGTTTTTTAAAAATCATAATATGAGCCTACTACACAACAGAAACTTTATGTATAGCTCATTCTCACACCAATCCATGTAGTAAAAGAAACTGATGCCAAGGACTTAGAAACAGGTCTGCAATCACACTTCTAATGAGGGATGGTGTGAGGAGTGATTTCAAGAGTGTCTCCTTTCAAGCAAGTGCTCTTTTCTTGAGCTTTAATCTTCGTGCTGGTTTTACACAAGATCAGAATGTGTAGAGAAGCACTTGGTAAGAACAGGCAACAAATAACACTAATGCCAATAATGATGTGGGAAGTCTAGCAGAATAAGGCTCAAAAGTCAATGGCCTTTGTCACATACTCCACCTGGTCTTGCCTCTGGTAGAATTTCGGGATTGGGTGGTAGTCACTGTTGATAAGCCCATGATGAAATCTTCTGCGTCCTAAAGAACTCGTCTGTTTCCCTTCTTTCCTCCTGCATCCCAGTGATCACATCTTCCTCCACCCGGGAGTATACGGTGACAGAGCCTGAGAGGGGTGGAGCTACCTCTTCAAATATCTACACGTACCAGTGGCGCCAGACCATCACCTTCCAGGAGTGTCCCCATGATGTCTCCCGGCCTGCCCTGCCCAGCACTCAACAACTCTCGGTGGACAGTGTCTTCGTCCTGTATAACCAGGAGGAGAAGATCTTGCGCTACGCTCTGAGCAACTCCATTGGTTCTGTGAGGGGTAAGAGAGGGTGCTTGGAGTAGGCACCACGTGTGCCTCTCTCTGAACCTTTTGACATGCATTCTTCCATTTCTTCAGTGTTGTGGAGGAAGGAGCCAGAGGATTAAAATTTCCTCTTAGTCCCTTATGCTGTGTGATTGGTTGGAGGGCAAACCTTCACCTGAGGGCAAGTAATTTGGGGGCAAAGGTGGACGTATAACCTCTTTTTTTTTTGCGGGGGGGGGAGGGAATGTCTTCTTCCAGGAGCTTTTTCCTGCTGAGCTTTTTGCTTGGAGTTGGGACTTCTTCCTTGGGAGGAGAGGGGGCGGAGATGTGGAGGGATGGGGTGGGGGTGGGGGGATGCGGCACAAGGGAGCATGAGAGGAGACAGAGAGCATGAACCACTACATTGCTGCCATCTATCTCTGCGGCTGCTGCTTTAAGCTCCTTTAGAGGCCTCCTCGGGTTGGGCCACTTTGAGTGTTTTCCCTGTGGGATTCGCCACTTTTGCCTTTCTTCCACTGACTTCTGCTATTTCCTTCATTGAAGCCATACCACCAGAAAACCCCAAGCTGGAGTTGTGGATTCTTATCTGTTGAACCTGATTCTTACCTGCCCAAGTTGGGGTTTTCTGGTGGTGTGGGAGTGAATATGTAAGTTTCTTTAAAATAAAGAACGGGGGCTGGAGCAATAGCACAGCAGGTATGGTGTTATCCTTGCACGTGGCCAACCCATGTTCGATCCCCAGAGTCCCATATTGTCCCCCAAGCACTGTCAGGAGTAAATCCTGAGTGCATGAACCAGGAGTAACCCCTGTGCATGGCCGGTGTGACCCAAATAGCAAAATAAATAAATAAATAAATAAATAAAAGAATAGTGACAATGAGGACTTTGGCCATTTGGAGTTCTGTGTGGAAACTCCATTCAAAAGGCTCACCTCAGTTAGTGAGTGATATACAGTTCGTGACATACCTGTGATACCCAATAGTTCTACAGCTCTGGTGTGTGGTAAAAATGCTAAAATGTCTCCTTTTTTTTCTGTTCCCAAAAGTCATGTCATCTATTGAGATAAACTATTAAAATAACCTGTTGAGTTCCAGCTTAGAACAGATGCATCAACTAGCCTGGGCAGAGCATTTAAAATACTCACCAGGAAAGAAACGTGTGTTGGAAGCCTGAGGAAATCTGATGCACTGGGGAGAGTCAGACAGGGTACCCACCTCAGTCTCTCTCTCCCTGGGCTCCATATCTCCTGTGTGATCGTATGTGGCCTGTGGGAAGCAGGTCACAACATAGCCTGGTGTCAGGTACCACATCACCACATCATTAAGCTCTGGGGTTCTCTAAGTGTGGGATCTAGGAGTTGTTTTTCACCTGTGCTTGGGGTCCCTTCTAGACCTAGAGAGAGGGAAAGGCCACGTCTGCAGGTGCCCAAACTTGTCCTTGCTTATCTCCAAAAAGTAGGAACATGAGGTTTTTGTCCTTTGACAGCTGTAGTTCCAAACCATAGAGTTTAGCACATATTTTTTTGGGTTTCTTTTATTTTTTTTTAAATTTTTTTAGTGAAACACCATTTTAACTAGAAAGGCCAGAGAGTTCTTTTTTTTTTTTAATTAGTGAAACACCATGAGGTACAGTTGTAGATTTACAATTTTTTGTGCTTGGGTTTCGATTATACAATGATCAGATACCCATCCCTCCACCAGTGCCCATTTTCCACCACCATGGATAATATCCCCCCACCCCCATCCCCCCATCCCCCCTGTCTCTGTGGCAGGGCAATCCCCTGTGTTCTCTCTCTCCTTTTGGGTGTTGTGGTCTGCAAAAGAGGCATTGAGTGGCAAACATGTTCAGTCCATAGTCTACTTTCGACATGCATCTCCCCTCCTGGGAGGATCCTCCAAACACCCTTTATTTGGTGCTCCCTTCTCTATCTGAACTGCCCTTTCCTCTAGGATACCCGACTGAAGGCCAGAGAGTTCTTTACCCGATTCTTATCTGCCTTGAGATCAAGCTAGGACCCATAACTGGCATACAGGTCTGTCCTCTGTTGACCTTCTGGATGTTTCCAAGCCTTGATGGAAATGTTGGATGTGGAAAACCTGTGAATTTTGGTGTCGTTAGCTGCAGAATGACTGAAAGAGAGAAGTTGCTTAGAAATGCTTTGCAGAGGATCTAGTGAGTGGTGGGCCCCCCATGAACGCTCCTTCCTTGTCTTCTCTGGCCCTGACTCCACATGCCGCAAATACAATCTCCCCGACTCTCTCTTCTCTCACTCTCCTCCCCATCTTCCTCCTCCCTGTCCTGTCTTCTTTATCCCTTCTCTTGCCTCCCTCTTCCTCTTCCCCCTTCCCCCTTTTCCCTCCCTCTTCCAGAGATGGTCATTGAAGCGACAGTGAGCAAAACCAGTGGTTGTTTCCAAGAAAACAGTGAACGCTAAACAATGCAAAACTTTAAGAGTTATATCATTAAATTTCTACACACTTCTAGTAACACCCAATCCTTTCTCATGTACATAAAGAGAATCACAGTTGGATTTCACATGATCATTTGAATGACTTTGCAGATTTGGTGAATCAAAACATTTTCACTTCATTGCTCATCATTTTTCTCAAGATGAAGGTGAAATCTGTTCTTTTTCAGGGTCGGGTTTTCCAACTCCAGACTCCTGAAATCCACATGAATAACACTAGTCTATTCACTGACCTTGGCCATTTGCATTTCTTACAGACACAATTTGAGCAGATTCAAAAGTCATATTCTTCATGTATACATGTTTAGAGAGGAAATTCTCTTATATTCAATGCCTAAATATTAGTACATGATAGCATTTAAAAAATAAAAAGTCATTCTTCAGATGCTTTTCCAACCAAACTGGACATTTTCAGCAGTGTGTCAGTAAAATATGGAAGGGAGTTAGAGTTGAGAAATTGTAACAGGAGCCTTGAAAGGTGAGTTAGGAAGTGAAAATACCTGTTGCTGGAGTCTCTTAGGGGTAGAGATGGAGAAAGAAGAAAGGGGACCAGCTTTTCGACTGAGGACTACAGGCTACTGGTTCTCTCCTTAACCTTGGTGGTAGAAATCATGATGGTGGGTAGGGAGATGCTTGGGAAAAGGAGGGATCCAGAATCTGCAGACTGAGGTAAAAGCAGTGCCAAGAGCAACATCTTCAGCTGGAGCTTCCTGAACATTCCTCTGCTCATGCTCTCTGTCAGAGGGGTGCACCATGCCCCGAATCATTCAGAAACAAAAATTAGCCCCAGGTGCTAGGTGACAGGAGAAGCAGCAAATGCACTGTGTCAGGGGGTGGGGTGTGTATATGTGTGTGTGTGAGGGGGGAGTGTGTGTGTGTGTGTGTGTGTGGGAGGGGGACTTATGTGTCCTGGGAATCAGCCTCTGGTGCTCCACTGCGCTGCACCTCATCCACCACTCTCCCCACTATTTTTTTTTCTTTTTTGGGTCATACCTGACAATGCACAGGAGTTACTCCTGGCTCATGCACTCAGGAATTACTCCTGGTGGTGCTCAGGGAACCTTATGGGATGCTGAGACTTGAACCCACGTCAGCCGATGCAAGGCAAACGCTCTCCCCACTGTGCTCTCACTCCAGCCCTATTCTCCCCAGTTAACCTCTGCCTCGTTCCGCTGGCCATAACCCCACCTTCTTGCTCAAGAGCCTGCTTAGGAAACAAATCATCTCCACTTTCTTGAGAAAGCCTGGACACCATTCTTTGGAAGCCTTAGGTTCCCACTGTCTTTTTTCCCAGGGGCATATTTTTTCTTTTCCCTGATCCTTGAAAGTGACGTTGTGGTGGGCTGGAGAAAGAGAGAGTACAGGGGTTAAGGCTCCAGCCTTGCTTGCGGCCAGAACCTGATGGGAATCCCAGAACCGAAGATGAGTCCAAGAAAATCACTCTTGATACTGGGTTTGCATTCATAGAGCACTCTTATTTTTTGACACAATAAAGGTTTTGTGCTTAGATGGCTTAGATGACCCTTTCTTTCTTCTTCTTCTTTTTTTTTTTTTTGCTTTTTGGGTCACACCCGGCGATGCTCAGGGGTTACTCCTGGCTCATGCACTCAGGAATTGCTCCTGGCAGTGCTCGGGGGACCATATGGGATGCTGGGAATCGAACCTGTGTCAGCCATGTTGGCAGCGTGCAAGGCAAATGCCCTACCCGCTGTGCTATCCCTCCAGCCCTAAGATGACCCTTTCTTATGAGCATGTTCCTGTCATTAAAATGTTTTAAAATAAATAAGGCAGGTGGTGGTGAAAGCCAGTAGTAAGCACCTTCGGCTTTTCTGACTGCACATCTCTGGTCTTAAGATCTCAGTTCTGCCATTGCCATGTAAGATACTCCCAGGCCCTCTGCCAGGGAAAATGCTTTCCAGTGACAGGAGCAGATGTGGGTCAGCAGGCATGCCCTGAGTGCTATAGGAATGGACTGATGTCCTATTGCAGACCACCCGCCATCCTCCTGGTTGTCAGTCAGGTTTTCCTTTCTACAGATGTTGGAATACTCATCAAGTTTTGCTGTTTCTCCTTCCAGATGGCTCCCCAGATGCCCTTCAGAATCCTTGCTACATCGGCACTCATGGGTGCGACACCAACGCAGCCTGTCGGCCGGGCCCCGGGACACAGTTCAACTGTGAATGTTCCATCGGCTTTCGGGGAGATGGCCAGACTTGTTATGGTACAACCTTCAATTCTGACTGCTGTCGGGGTAGGAGAGGGGGTTCTCGGGCTCAGAGGAAGCAGCTCTGTTGGGTGAGAGCTCAGGGAGGAAAGGAAGCACCGGTCAGATCTGTCCTGTTGGATCAGGCAGGCTCTCCTGATTGTGGATCCCCCTGGTGTTCCCTAAAAATATTGAGGTACTTCCCCTTTCTTTCAGCCCATCCAGTGCACCGACTCAATGTGGTAGAGTAAGCTGTCTAAGGCCACATTACTCTTTACTTTAGGAACACAGAGGTTTACTGACTCATTAGTATCAGGGCTGCTTATAATCTCACAATGTATCCATAAACTGTGAATGGGAGAAAACCCAAGCACTGTTTATTTTAGGGGCATCACTAACATCAGCTCACTGAGTTCAACACCTTTCTTTTTTTGCTTTTTTTGGGTCACACCCAGCAATGCACAGGGGTTACTCCTGGCTCTGCACTCAGGAGTTACTCCTGGAGGTGCTCAGGGGACCATATGGGATGCTGGAAATTGAACCCGGGTCGGCGGCGTGCAAGGCAAATGCACTACCCGCTGTGCTATCTCTCCGGCCCCCAGTTCAACACCTTTAATGAAATATTCTCCTAATTCTGTCTTTAAAAATTATTTCCAAGGGCAGGGATGTGGCTCAAGTGGTAGAGCCTCTTGCCTTGTATATGTCAGGTGCTGTGTTCAATCCATGGCACCATATGGCCACTGCAGCATGAAGAATGGACAGTGGTTGCTGAGCACTACTGGGCAAGGTTTTTATAAAAATTATTTTAGAGGCCAAAGAGAACTCAGTGGGCTGGAGCCCATTCTTTGCATACAGGAGACTTAGTTCCAATCTCTAGCACTGTATAGTCTCCCATGAATTGTTGAACATGAGTCCTGAGCACCTCGAGTATGGCCCCCAAAATCAATATAGATGCATACATACATATATACATATATATACACATATAAATATAAAAAAGTAATATATGTTTAATGGTAGTTAAATACTTTTAATAGAAAATCCAGAGTCCTCCCATTTTGAGCGGCTAAGTAGCTTTAGTATATCATATTGTTAACCATCACCAACATCTATCTCCAGAAGTCTTTTCATTGTGCAAAACTGAAACTCCATACCCAATAAACAACAACTTCCTCTTCCTAATGACTCTTGACAGTCACCATTCTACATGCTGTCTCTGAATTTGACTTTTGGCACCTTGTATAAATGGGATCATATAATATTTGCTCTTTTGTGCCTGGGTTTATTTTAGTTAGTATAATGTCCTCTAGGTTTATTCATGTAATGTGTGCCAAAATTTATTTCCTTGTAATACATGGTGATATTCCTTAGAAAGATATTTTATTCTGTCTGGACTGTTGTAAATGTACATAATTCTGCTGTGAATATGGGTATACAGGAACCTACTTACAGCCTTGCTTTTAGCTCTTTGGGGTGTATTTGTGGTGTATTCAAATAGCATAATGACTAGATCATGGGCTAATCTTAGAATTGAATTTATGAGGAGCTACTATACCATTTTCCGTACCAGCTGCAACCAACCTGTACCTGCCTACAATGTACAAGGTCTGCAGTTTCTCTCAACCTCACCAGTATTTGTTATTTTGTTTCTGGGTCATTTTGTTTGTTTTATTTTTTTCTTTTTTGGTGGAGAGTGGGGGTAGACAATGAATGAGCATCCTGGTGGGTAGGAGATTCATTCTCATATTTGTAGATGAGAAAATTGAGGTTCATTAAAGTGAGCCTCTGATACAGTATAGGAGTTTAATTTTGTGACTCCAGTGTATATATATGATGGATCCTTCTCGTTGTTCTTACTTTATTATATTTCATTTCAAATGCTTTCACTAGACAGCTTACTTATTTTTTTCCTTTTGCTTTTTGGACCACACCTGGCGTTGCACAGGGGTTACTGCTGGCTCATGCACTCAGGAATTACTCCTGGTGATGCTGAGGGGACCTTATGGGATGCTGGGAATCAAACCGGCCTCATGCAAGGCAAATGCCCTACCCTCTGTGCTATCGTTCCAGCCCCGACAGCTTGCTTCTTATGACTGGCACTGAATTTCAGTCCATTACCAAGTAGCCAGCTGACTCCTGAATCAATGAAGAGTGCACAGAATGTCGGGTATTTCAACCAGTGATTGTTTAGTAATAGCTGTTACCTAAATGTGCAGCAGTGAGCTCACTAACAAGCATAGCAAATGCCGAAAGTAGGCCCTCCAGTGAAAGGACTGATATGCACATATGGATTTGACCAGAAGGGTGAGCAGTACCCTTGAAGACAAAGATATAAGAAGATGGTGAGTGAGTCCAGCAGCTTTGGAATTTGGGAACAGTGCCCCCAATCTGGAATCCCATGCCTCCTACTAATAACTGATTTAGTGTGCTGATTTTTAATAGGAAGATTAGCTGATACAACTGCAGGTTATTGCTCTCTTTGCTTCAGGATAAAGCTTTACTTGGAACTTCTGAACTAACAGAGCAGGGACTTGAGCTTACAAAAACAGATTGTATGATTGTTTAGCCAACTTGCTGATAATGTTGGCTATGTGGTAGGTTCTGATATGAAATTCCCTATCCTTGTAACGTTCCACTGGGAAGGGGACATAGTTTCTATTCACCTCTGATCAGCATGACCAGTGAGGGTAGGGAGCGGCACACCTAGTGGTACTCACGGACTATTCCAGTGTGGTATTCAGGGTTTAGCAGACCATGTGCTATGGATCAGACCCAGGGATCCAGATGCAAAGCATGCACTCCAGTGCTTTGAGCCAACCTTCTGACCCCTGTATTTCCCAACAGTCTTAAGTGGCTGAATTGGCTCCTGCCAGTTTGAAGTAGCATCATACTATGTGTGTGTGAACCCTCCTAGGACCCTTAAGAGGGTGATGAGATATTTTCATTTCTTCAGTGAAAACATACAGTCTCTCAGACTTACTAACTCCTGTTACAAATTCATAAGCCAACTCAGGCATGGAGCTACCCCAGCCACTTGCTGCTGAGTTCAGATCTCTGGCAAATTTCACTCAGGGACTCTCTTCACATCACAAGGCATGACAAGCCATACTGTCTATCTTTTATTATCAAAGAAAAGTGTTTTATTATCTGATCTCAGCAAGAAGATGGGTGACGGTGCATAGGCTTGCTTTTGTCCTGAGTGAGTCCTCATTTGGGCAGATTAGAACCATGGGATGTGGTTATGTTCTCAGGCAGGCTAGTTTTTTGGTTCCAGGTCATGAGGATGAGCTGCAGAGGACATGCATCAAGACATTTGGCTGTGGATAGGAAATTGCATTAAGCAGATCACTGCATGTATGTCTGGGTTTGACCTGGAAAGAAGAGAGAGAGGATGCATCTGTGTAATTCAGTATTAGTAGCAGTGATATAATAGACGACATACAAAACAAAACTGGGGTTGGAGAGAGACAGCATAGTGATTCACTAAATTGACTTGGAGGTATCTAGTTGAATCACAGGGCTGTTTGCCTGGTAGGATGGCTCCTATATATTTCTCAGCAAGAGTCTATAAAGATAGCTTTGCCTAATAGCTCCTTGAGTACTTTGAGCACATGCAAGTCATTTAACAAATCAATCAGGAAACTCTTCTCAGAAAACCTGACCTTTATAAAAGGGGGCAAATTGGAGAAACTTAGAGCTGTTGAAAATAGTAAAAAGTAGCCACTCTTCAAAAAGAAGTCAGAAAGGAAGCAATGATTACAGAATTCATCCAGCATTTTCCCATTGGATTAGAAATTGGCTTAAGTGAAGAATCTCTTCACAGAGAAGAGGTTGACCAGATACTGAGTAAGAACAAACATCTTTAAGCAGATATTGTGATTTTTTACAAGATGTATCATTCATTCTTTATTTCCACTAAAGAAAGGATTAAGGAATTAAAGTACTAGTCTCCATTTATAAAAGAGAGGATTGAAATTCAGTATTAAACGAAAGGAGTTTCTAAAACGGAGTGAAGCATTCTTGGAGAAGTTGCTGGAGTCTTGCTCTAAAGCTAAAGACCATCCATCTTGGGTGAAATGTTTAAACCTGCAGTGAAAGTTGTTCTAGGGAGCTCTTCTTTCTCTATGGCCCCAGATCCTGTTTGTCAATATCCTTGTTTTCCAGATAGGACATGAGGGGCACAAAGCCTTTTAATCACCCTAAGAAAAATTTCAAAACACATAGCTTCCATGTCTGTAGATCTTCCAATTGAAAATAGAGCTTGTGGGAGCCTCGTGGACAGCAGGTTTGAGCCAGGGGTCGGGGGCGGCAGGGGCCTCATGGGAAGGGGGGTGTTTCAGTCCATCCTTCATGCCCTACCGAGGTCACCAGTTGCCCCCCACGAGCGGCTCTCCGGCACGGCCATGGCCCCAGAAGGACAAGGACTTAACACAGAAAACCAGCCATTTGGAGCAGAAAAGCGATTGACTATGCATTAATCCAGGCCATCATGTCTGCCCGGAGGGGAAAGGGTGTTGCCCCATTCGCCCTCTCCTCTCTGGAAAGAAAGATGGCGGCCGCATGGGCGCCTTGTGGACAGCAGATATGAGCCAGGGGTGTGGGGGTGACTAAAACCTCATGGGAAAGGGGGCGTTCCAGTCCGTCCTTCACACCCTACCGAGGTCACCAGTTGCCCCCCACGAGCGGCTTTCCAGCACGGCCACAACTCCAGAGCACAGAAACCAATCTCTTAATTATCTGACTTTCAGTAGAAATACTTCCAGGGTTAATAAGTAAAATAGCGGAAATCTAAAACCAACATTTAATTCTTGAACCCAGCTGTAGAAAGCAAATCATTTCACAATGCTTTTTCAGCATGTCTCATTTGGGGGGGGGGAGTAAACTCTAAATAATAGTGGTGCATCTTTTATTGAAACAATGAATCTAATCAAAGCAGATAGAGTGTTAACTAGAATTCATCTGCCTCGCAGGCATTGGGAGGGGTGAGAGGTGGGGTTCTATTGGGGTTCGCGGTTAAAATAAGTATTGGTAAAGGGAAATGTGTTTGTTATTTACGTGACTGAGACCTAAACCTGAAAGCTCTGTAACTTTTCCCATAGTGATTCAATAAATAAATAAAATAAAAAAAAAAAGAAAATAGAGCTTGGAAAAGTTCCTCTGATGACTTTGCTCTGTCCCTTTGATTGAAAATGTTGTTCTGGGCACTTTGGCAGTTGAGTCTAAGCTGTGGAGCTTTGCAGTCTGGATAGTGTGCTCAGACATCTATGATGAGAGTATCCTCTGAGGATTGTCTTGCAGAGACAAGAAAAGGCCTTTTTCTCCAGGCTGTTGGAGCAGCAGCTGGTAAACAAAAGACCACCACTTGCTGAATGTCCCTCTACCCCTGTTCTGTCTTCAGTCCATAGAAGAAGCTGTCTAGGGAGGGGTTTATTCTGTAATCTTTCAGCTAGACTAGCACAGTTCCCCAGATGATATCTTCTGTCTTATACATTTCATAGAAATGTGGATTGCAGGATCACTTGGATCACTTGTCATTCCGTTGCTCATCGATTTGCTCGAGCAGACGCTAGTAACGTCTCTATTTATTCTGTTGTGTGCTAGTGTAGGCCAGTCGCGTCTGTTCACTCCAGGAATACGAAGAGCATTAAACCGTTCGTTTAGGGTCTTGATGACAAAGTTTGACCATCCCGAGGGTGGGTGCCCAGGCGTTCTTTTGATGTCCTGTGGAATCCAGTCGGTAACAGTTGTCTTCAAATCGCATTATGTGTCCAGCCCATCTGATTGCAGTATATATATTTTTAAAAGCTGAATAACTTCTGGCTCAGGTTTTTGCAGGATATTGGTCAAATTGTACCCCAAAATGCATTTCTGGTGCAGTGTTGTGAATAAAACAGCAACACAACACATTCATCTCACCAATGATAAGACTGCAGGTAGACATATGAGGCTTGTGTCCCAAGTGTGAAAGATTAAATGTGTGTGTGTGTCTGTCTGTGTATGTGTGTCTGAGAGGTAGGGGTGGATACTAAGAGTGAGAGAGTAGTTGAGTGATCTTAGCAATAATGAATCTTCTTTGCACACATCTCGTACTTGTAACTCTGCTCATTTGTCATCAGTGGACACCAATCCCAGATTATCTTGGTTTTTCCTTTGAGCCAGTCAGCCTTTCTGCCACAGATTGGTCCTTGGTGCCTGATGGCCTCCTGAGGCTCATGTTCTAGAATGTGTGTCCATGGCTAGTGGAAAGGATAAATCCCTAATAATTATAATAATAGCTCTCTTTTTTGAACCTGCTAGTGCTTCTCTGGCCTATATCTATTTTCTGTAATCCACAGGCAATAAAACCCTTTAAGGGGCTGGAGCAATAGTACAGCAGGTAGGGCATTTGCCTTGCACACAGCTGACCTGGGTTCGATTCCCAGCATCCTATATGAGCACTGCCAGGAGTCATTCCTGAGTGCCAAGCCAGGAGTAACCCTTATGCATCGCTGGGTGTGACCCAAAGAGAAAGAAAGAAAAAAACACCTTTAAGATGAGTTTTAGTTATTTACCTGTATTAGCTTATTTACCAGCAGGAAAACTAAGACTGAGAGAGAAGAATCTGATTCAATCTGAGACCACACACACCGGTAACTAAAGAAAATGGGATTTAAACCTAACTATTGTCCACTCTAAAGCACATGTTTTTGTTCCCCATCACCCTAGGGATTGGCTATAGTAACACAATATGAAAGGGCACCACCCTATGGGTGGTGAATAATATGAATATATATAATAAGGGCTTCCTTTTCAATTCGTGAAGCTCTTGATAATTCAAGAAATTAAATTGAAATGCTTCAACTTTTGTTTGTAACTACAACTAGAGAAAGACAGGATTTTAATAATCAGTATATCTTTATTGGGGGATACACCTCCAAGGCCTTCCTCCAGGCTCTGTGCTCAGGGATCACTCCTAGTGGGACTCAGGGGAGTTTATGTGGTGCCGGGGATCAAACCAGGGTTGACTTAGTGCAAGGCAAGCACATTACCCCCTGCACTATCCCCCTGATCCCTCCAAGCCATAGTTATTTAAATTTGCTCTGTTTCTTAGAATCAGGACACTGATCTGCAAAACTTTGACATGTTTTTGCTAATCTGATATTAATGGGCTTCAGACTTAGCAGCTAGCTCCAGGAGAGGTGGAAACATACTCTTCCTTTAAAGTTATGTACAGAACGCCCCCCTTTTCTACATCCCTCCCCCTCTAAAAACTCTGATTTAACAGTGCTTGGGAATATAGAAAAATTGCTCTAAGATTGTTCTGGTCAAAGGAAAATGGCTTCTCTTTTATGCTCTTTAGCAATGTTGTTATGCAAGATGTTCTTGAAGCTTTGTCTTTTTTTTTTTAACCTTCCTGTAGATATCGACGAGTGCTCTGAGCAACCCTCGGTGTGTGGGAGCCATGCGGTCTGCAATAATCTCCCTGGAACCTTCCGTTGTGAGTGTGTTGAGGGCTATCAGCTTTCAGACACGGGAGTGTGCACAGGTAAGTTTTGTAGTAATGCTTCATTCAGTTATTCCTATGGAATATGGTAGTGAGTCTACAGAAAAGGTCTTATTGCACCCGGTGTTGGGTGAGATGGAAGGTGGCAGTTTCTGGAATTGGGAAGGGCAGTTTGCCAAGATAAGTCAGACTTTCTTCCCACCAACTACCTGAAGCATCACATGTACAGGAATAAGCAGGATGCTTGTCTCTGCTAGTAATAGTATCGCCTCACCTATTATAACCTTTTGCATTTAGTTCCCTACCTTTAAAAACTCCTTAATTATTTTATTACCCTTTGAATAGTCATTAAAACAATTAGACTTGTTTCTCCTTGTAATTAGTGGCCTTGGCCTTGATCTTGAAGGATCTTATCCTTTGGTTGAATTCTTCCTGATTTACATCTGAAGTTCCCTTTGGCACTGTCTGTTCAGGGATTTCAATTTTACAAGCCACAGGTAGTAGCTAATGTCTTTGCTTTATCAAAGAAAGTGAGATGAGGCTATGAATTAGGCACATTATACTTAAGGTAATGAAGAAGATTTGGATAATGATGTTCCCGGGGCAACCATAAGAAGCCAGATCATTTCCATTTTCTCTTTTTGTTGTTGTTGTTTATGTTTTGGAGAAGGTTGGGGGTGGCCCATACCCAGTGTCTCACAGGGGCTTTTTCTGGCTTTATGCTCATGAGTGACCCCTGGTGATGTTCAAGAGACTATGTAGTGCCAGGGACTTGAACCAGGGTTATGTCCAATGCAAGTGCCTTACCTCCTGCATTACCTCCCTGGCCCATTTTCCTACTATTCCTAACTGTTCCTAAACCTGTTGGTTCCAAGAATTTTAAAATCAATTTTAAGTTTCCTGATTTGGAGGGCCCTTGGAACTTGACACTTCTTCCCAATTTGAAACAGATTCCTATTCCTATTTGACCTCTTTGCTGAACTCACTCTTCGCCTCTGCCTTGCTAGCTATTTACTAAAACCTGGGTTGCTTTCTGTTTGTTGTCTTGCAGCTCAGATGAGACTGCCGTGGTCCCAGGGTGAGGGCGGGAAGGAACAGGCAGTTCTCATATTTTGAGTGTGACCCAAACATCTGTGAATTCAGAGGCCCATCCCTTTTGCAGAGTTGAAACTTAAGCTCTTCTAAAGTTTATCATTTTTCTTCTTTTTAATAGAAAACAACATTTTCTGTGTAATTGGCCTGCCTTTCTTTGCTTTTTGAGCAGATTTGAAAGTTTATTTATATTGGCCACACCAATAAAAATATTTGCATTTTGCATTTGGACTCAAATTGGGGTCAGTGCATTTGCATCTGACTCAAATTGGGGTAGTGGAACTTTTAAGCCTTGCGTGGGACAGCTGTGTTGTCACTTGGGTGGGACAGCTGTATTGCTGTAAGGATGTCCTGGCTCTCTTGATGCTGCCACATTCTGACAGCCACATTCAGCTGAGGAGCCAGGAGAGGGTGCAAAACTGCTGGTTTGCAAAGACCTACTCCTGGACATTATACTCTTTGGAAGGTTCTCAACCTCTCTGATTCTGAGTTCCTTATCTATAACATGCAATTATGTAGGATCCTGGGATCATGATGTTCCTTGGGGGTCCTTGGAGCTGTCTATGTTTCAAGGGTGGACTGGTATATTCTACCCCAAACTCCATCCTCTCTCCTTCTCTTCCTCCACCACCTCCTCCTCCTCCTCCTCCTTCTTCTCCTCCTCTTCCTTTATACCCACCACCCCCACTAACCCCACCAGTGTTGGCTGTGTTGTGGATCAATCCCAGGATCTCACTCATGCAAGGCATGTGCTGTATTACCTGAACCCCATCCCTGGCCTTTTTTGTTTGTTACCTACCAAATTCTGAGTAAAGTTTTGTTTGCATAGAGGATCTTGTTGTTCAGAAGTGAGTGTGAAGCTCACTCACAGATAGTTAGGTGCCACTGAGGCATGAAAGCATAAGGTTTCCAGGTGTTGCGGCCCAAAGAAGGATCTTTTGTTCTTCCATCCTGCTGGTTCTTCAACCCTTTTTGTTTTTTGTGGAGAAGAGGCTGTACCCTAACAGCTGACTTAGTGCTCAGGGATCGCTCCTGACAGTGCTGAGGATTGAAATTAGGTTAGTTGTGTGCAAGGCAAGCACCTTAACCCTTGTACTATGTCTCCAGTCCTTCTTCTCCACCCTTTTTTTTCACTTCCCTTAGTTTGTCCTGGCCTCAAGCACCTCCTTCCTTCTCCCTCATGACACCTGGCCCCACCACTGTGCTCAGCTCATTGTGGGTCAGGGTCCTACTCCAGGGTTCTTCTCAGAGGTGCAGAAACCAGAATAGTGAAAACTCAAATTCCTATTCAATTCTACTTAATTTTTCCATTCCCAGTTTGAACCAAGTTCTCTCTCTCTTCTAAAGTGTTCCCCCAGGCTGGGAAAATAGATAGCTCAGGGGTATGTGTCTGACACTGAACTCTGGTACCCCATATTCTAACCTTCCCCAGCATCACTGAAGGTGACCAAGCAGTACCACACTGCGGAACCCAAGCACTGCACCATTCTGCCCAGTTAGCTGAGTACTGCCTGGGTGACCCTGGGGACCCCTGAGCACTGCTTGTGAAGTTCCCCGCCCCCAAATAAAAACAAAATTAAATTTAAAAACAAAAAAAATGATGACTTCATCCTATCCTACAGTTTAGCATGATATGAGCCTGCAGGTTGGCATCACAGGGACTTGCCCTGTGCACACAAGGGCCTGGGAGGGAAGCAGCGGCTGCTCACAGGCCCTCTTGTGGTCTCCCCTGGAGGTATGTAAGGGCAGCGGTTTCTCTCTCTTAGGGATGGAGCCAGTGTCTGTCCTGGTTTTAAACTTACTCTTTGAAAAGGGCCCAGTGAGATAGTACGCTGGGTAGGCCACTTGCTTTGCATGCTCCTGACCCAGATTCAATCCCTGCCACCCCATATGGTTCCCTGTGCATTGTCAGGAGTGATCCCTGAGCACAAGCTGGAGTAAGAGCTGAGTCAGAAGAAATTTTCCCTGCATGGAAGGGAGATGGACATCCACTAAGCAATGTTATGTGTGCTGTAAAAATGAAACCAGTTTAACTAAACTGTCAGGAGTTGCCAGCAAAGGTTTAAAGTCTGTAAGAAGAAAGCCACTTTGGCATGAAAAATGGTCTTATGTTAATGGAAAATCTGATTTAGAAAAATCAGATGACAAGCTGCTCTTCTCTCTGTGTGCTCTGAACCAGCACAGAGAGTAGGGTATCTGCCTTGAGCAGTAGACCTGGATTTGGTCCCCTGCACCCCATATTGCTGCCCGAGCCTTGCCAGGAGTAAGCCCTCAGCATGGCCAGGTGTTGTCTCCCCAAAACCAAAAGAAGTCCAAACTAACAAAAATTTAAGCACAGGATCACATTTGTTTGTGACTGGACAGGAGACCTTGAGGCTCTGTTTATAGAAGGAGTGAAAGGAGGCTGGAGCAGACAGTTTGCACATGGATTCCTTTTTTAAATTGTTTAAACATTTTTTTAATTGAATCACCATAAGCATTGCTTACAATGCTTTCATGTTTGAGTTTCAGTCATACAAAGATCAAGCACCCATCCCTCCACCTGTGCACATTTTCCACCACCAATGTCCCCAGTATTCCTCTCCAATTCCACCCCTTCCCCTGTCTCTATAGCAGACAATTAGTCCCACACTGTCTCTCTACTTTTGGATGTTATGGCTTGCAATACAGATACCGAGAGGCTATCACATTTGGTCCCTTATCTACTTGGAGCACACATCTCCCATCCCTATTGACCCCTCCAACCATCATTGACTTATTGATCACTTTTCTATTCCAGCTGCCTTCTCCCCCAGCTCATAAGGCAGGCTTCCAACCATGGAGAAATGTTCCTGGCCCTTGTCTCTACTGTCCTTGGGTATTAGTCTCATAATTTATTATTTATATTCCCCAGATGAGTGCAGTAATTCTATGTCTGTTCCTCTCTTTCTGACTCATTTCACTTAGCATGATACTCTCCATGACCAACCACTTATAAATAAGTTTTATGACTTCATCTTTCCTAATAGCTGCATAGTATTCCATTGTACACATGGATTCCTTAATGGCTATAAAGGACCCAAACATTTCATATTAGAGCTGGAGAATGAAAAGTGATGGAAGATTCATTCCCTGCTTGTTCTGTCTGAATATACTTTCATTCCCATTTTTCTTTCTTTTTTTCCTCAATTCTTTAAGTATATTCCCATTCACGTCTTGCAAGCAGAAGGAGCTGGCAGGAAGAAGGACCCTAGAGGAAAAAAGAATGTTAGAAATAACAGGGAGTGAGAAGAGCAGAGTGGACCAAAGAATCAGAAGTGTGTGTTTGGACTGAGCAGGCATAATCGGGGAGACTGTTTTCTATACAAAACTTTGCCCCACTGTCGCCATTGAAAACAGAGCTGCCTTTTGACTCACAAGATCTGATCCATCTGACAGGTCCAGGAGGACCTCATATTTCATAGAATTAATTCATATTCTTTTTTTTTAAGTTGGGGCTTCCCAAACTATGCTCAGGGGCCATCAGTACTACTCTTGGGCCTGAGCATGCTTCAGTGCTTATAGTGCAGTACTGGGGGCCACCAGGTCCACTGTAGCAGTACTAAGCGGCACTCCAGAGCAGTGGTCAGAGGTCTATATGGTGCTGGGAATCAAACTCCAATCCTTGACAGGAGAAAGAGTACAGTGGTTTAGATGTTTGTCTTGCATTTGGCCAACCATGATTTGATCCTTTGCTTTGAATATGGTCCCCAGAGCACTGCCAGGAATGATCCCTGAGCCAGAACCAGGATTAATCCCAAAGAACTACTGGGTTTGGCCTCAACCCCGCCGTCTTCCCCCTCCCAAAAAAACCCCAAACTCAAATCCCTGCATATGTATACAGCCTTGATACCTGGATTATCTCCCCAGACCTTGATGTTTTTAACTTCACCCTTGATCTAAGCCTATGAAGGTTCTACTTCCATTCTCCAGTAGTTTGCAAATTTCTCTTTTAGCAGAGACTTGTTTTTTTTAATTTTATTTGTTTGTTTGTTTGTTTGTTTTTGAGCCACACCCAGCAGTGCTCAGGAGTAACTCCTGGCTCTGTGTTCAGGGATCACACCTGGTGGACTCAGAGAATGATAGAGGGATTGAACCTGGGTCAACTTCATGCAAAGCAAGGGCTCCACTCAATATAATATTTCCCTTGCCCTGTGGCAGAGTCCTTTGTATCTTTCTCTTTCCTTGTCCCCCTGGCAATGGTGAGAGCTAGAACTTTCTCTTTCTCCCTCTCAGTTCTTGATGCAGGTAAACTGAAATTTATATTGGGAAATCTCACTAAGGAAAAAGATTGGGAATTCCAGCTTCTGGAATCAGTTAAGCACTATCTTGGAAGAAAGGAATGGCCCCATTTCGAGACTGCAAGGACTGGGCTCTGTCCTGGGTCTCAGTGCTTTACCATCAAAAGCCAAATTAACCCGAGAGTACCTGATCCAGCTGTTGAAGTGACCCCTAAACTCTGACCTTGGTTTCTATCTTGAGGCCACAACTCTGATCTCTGTGTCTGATCTCTGTGTCACTCACCTACTTCCCAATCCCTTATCCTATGAGATTTAACAGCAGATCCCTTTAGAAAGTGAGTCGCCTCTGTTGAACCTTCTTGTGCTTGGTTTACTGGCTCACTCCAACTCTGCTTAGGAAGAGTCTGTGGCTCTGAGAAGTTACACGATTGACCAGAACCTTGCAGGGTGACACCTGTACATCAGGTTCAAACCCAGAAGTTCCTACTCCAAAGACCCAGAGTCTTTCTACCATGCCTAACTCGTTGCCCTGGAAAATTCTATTGCCCCTTCCTTGGTAGAATGTGACTTTGACTTTGGCCTTTGGAGTGAATGTTGCACCTGCCCAGCAGTCAAGGTTAAAGACAGGAAGTAGAAGTATCAGTTCCTTAGCTCTTAGCACACCACAACAGAGTTGCCATAGGAAGTGTTTTCCACCTCCAAGGGGGTCCAAACTAATGGGAAATTGAATAATGGACACCTGGTGTGAGGCAGAGGCCTGGAGTAAGGTTGAGCCTGAAAGCCACGCTGTAGGACCAACCATAGTGTCAGTCTGACAGCTCTTAAGAGACAGAATTCTGTGGCAGATATAGAAGCTACCAGCCTAGGAGAAAGCAGGGGAGAGGCCTGAGAGGTCTGGCCACGATGGTCCAGGCACACTCCCCTCCCTGTCCATATCACCTGCTCTGATAGAGGGAGGTTGGAAGGTCATGGGGCCACTCGGGTACTTCCTTCCAAACACTGTGCGTCATTCCTTTGTTTGAAGCTATTGAGCACCAGCGCCCCATCAACTACTGCACAGCTGGCCTACACGACTGTGACATTCCTCAGCGGGCCCAGTGTATCTACACGCATGGCTCCTCCTACTCCTGCTCCTGTCTGCCGGGCTTCACGGGGGATGGCCGAGCCTGTCAAGGTGCGTGATGGAGCTTCCATTCAACTTTCTATGACCTATAAACGTTCCCTTAGTGGCTCTTCCCATCTGTCAACTGCTCAGCAGAATTGACTCAGTTCTGTTGGGCAAGGGGCTGCTTTCTCTATCTCCAGTGGTTTGATCTAAGATTCTCTTTGCGAGACTGCCTCACTGGATGGAGGAAGATACTTGGCTTCCTCCTCCTGATCTTGTGCATTCAGACAATGAACACCTGCTCTCTTCTAGGAAGTAGATTTGCCTTTGATGAAAAGGTAGTCTGCACACAGGGAGCGTAAAGTACAGCTTGTTATATAATTAATAATATATAGTCATTCACCTGGCCTGCTCTAACACTCTGCTCCCCCCAAAAGTCAATGCATTGAAGATATTGGGGGCTGGAGCAATAGTATAGCAGGTAAGGCATTTGCCTTGCACGTGGTTGACCCGGGTTCAATTCCCAGCATCCCATATGATCCCCTAGCACTGCTAGGAGTAATTCCTGAGTGCAGAGCCAGGAATGAGCATTGCCGATTGTGACTCAAAAAGGAAAACAAACAAACAAATAAATTGAATATATTAGTGAATGTATAATTATTCATTGTTATTATAAATATATAACTATTGAATAATGATTATTCAATAAATGAAATAAATTATTTACTCAGAATAAGCCGTTTCACAGAACCCCTTCATATCTGAGATGAGCCAGAGTACTCTCAAGATAATTTTAGATAAGATAACAGGGAATCCATTGCCCTAGTTCTTCAAATTACAAAATTACTTACCATGATAGCAGAGTATTTTTGAAAAGTCAGAGCTCTCTAAGGATGGATAATAAGCTCTGAGTTATGTCCCCTTCATAATTTGCATGTAAATTTTCTCTTGTTGCCAAGGTTTTTCTGTCAAGCTGCTAATCTGTCTCCAAACTCAATTTTTGAAGTTCTCAATTTATAATGGGAAGGATCATTTTATAATGCAAAACAGATTCTCTCTTCTTTTTCCTTTTGCAAGCTTGATTTTTTCCGTTAAGTCAGTGCCAGATATCTGTAGTAAATACCCTCGATAAAGACTAGGGTGTCACTGTTTGATGTCTTGCGAGTTCCAGATCTCAGGGTCCACAACAGAAAGTCCATCCCAGAGAGTTGCACAAGAGGCTTTAGTGGTTGTGTAATTCTGAGGTCCGGAAGAAGTCTCATTGTCCTGGGACCCGGTGTCTGTTTTGCAGATGTGGATGAATGCCAGTTGAACCGGTGTCACCCTGATGCCTTCTGCTACAACACACCAGGCTCCTTCATGTGTCAGTGCAAACCTGGCTACCAGGGAGATGGCTTCCGCTGTGTGCCTGGAGGTAAGGCATGGGGCAATGGACCTTGCTACCTCTGTGGCTACTGAGTGAGTGTGTGGTTTGGGCTCAGCAATAAGGTGGCGGTGTGGGAGGCTCCACAGAGAGTCCTAAAGACCATGGAGATAAGAGAGTAGAGAGCACTGGTAAGTGGCACAGAGCCAGACAGATTATGCAGATAACTCCATAGGAACCATGATGTCCGGGGGTCTCCAAGGAAACAGAACCCACAGACCATAGATAAAGAGAGTTATTACTTGGACCTGGCTCACATCCTTATAACGGCAGGCAAGTCCCAGGATCTGCAGGTGGCAAGCTGGAGGCCGGGAGAACTAGTACTTTTCTTTTGAGTCTGAAGGTCAGGAAAAACAAATGCTCCTGTTCATAGGTTTTCAGGAAAGAAGAATTCTCTTACTTAGAAAAAAATCACCTTTTTGCTCTAAGTCACCAATTGGATAATGATCCATTTAAGGCAAGCAATCTGCTTTATTCAGTCTGTGAAGGTAAAAGTCAGTCTCATGGATATCATGCACTTGCTCTCTGTGAATGGAGCTAGAGGGCATCATGCCGGTGAAGGTTGAGGAGAGGGACGGATTCAGAATGATTGCTCTCAAATGTGGGCCAGAAAGATAAAGAGCAGGGGAATGACAAGAGAGCTGGTTCACAGAACTGCGCTTACCTGGGCATGGGTGGACGGAAGCAGGTGGACTCTGGTGGAGAGTGTGCTGTTGTATGCATGAAACTATCATTAATGTTATTATAAACCACAGTACCTCAATAAAAATGGGGAGGAAGTCCAATAAAAACTTATTTAATTTAAAAATAACCTCATTGAAATGCCCAGAATAATATTTGACATATTTGGCCACCCAGTGGCTCAATTTGATGCATAAAATCAATTATCACATGATTCTGCATCCTGAGGGGTAAAGCTTGGGTAGGGGTGGATGGGCTGGATTGGAGACCCAACAGTTGGGGTGATGGTATGAGTGGCACTCTACAGAGTTGTCTGAATTATCTGCTCTCCGTGGACTGTCTCTTTTCCTGAGCTGCCCCTGGCCTGAGACTTGGGTGAAATATTGTTGATCATGAGGATTGTCATTATTAAAGTTCTGCATCAGACCCCGAAATGGAGGCTCTCAACACATGCTCTGAAGTGGAGGGCAGGAACTGGTGGCCACTGATGTAGAACCGGATACAAACTGAAACCCTTCCATGTCCAAATTGCAATTATTGGGCAAGAGGGGGGCACTCCTGGCCACCCACTCCTGTCAGTGCTCAGGATTTATTCCTGTTTTTTTGTGCTCGAGGATCATCCTGGCACATCCTTAATCACTAGGGATCACCCCCATATCAGGATGGGGATCATACCTGGGTCAGAGACGTGCAAGGCCAAGAGACTTAACCCCTGTCCTGTCTCTTCCACCCATCATTTTTGAAAGTCTTTTTAGGGAATGGAATAATAATACAGGAGGTGGGGTGTTTGCTTTGCACACAGCTGTCCTGGGTTCGATCCCCGGCATCTCATATGGGCACCTGAGCATTGCCAGGAATAATTCCTGAGTACAGAAATAGGAGTAACCCCTGAGCATTGCTGGGTGTGACCCAAAATGCCAAAAATAAATAATTTTTTTTAAAAAAGATGCTTTTAAAAAAATTTTTTTCTAGACACTGATTTACAGAGGGTTATTAACAAGAGGGTTTCAGGCATACAGGGTTGCCACCTCCCCTTATACAGTGGATGCTGAAACTTAAAATATAATGGCATAACCCATAGGCATAACCCAATGACATAACCCATATCTAGAGCTAAAACTGAGAACCTGCCAGATGGTTTTCCAGATTCAACCCTCTAAACCATAGGTTTTCTGTCCTGAGATCAAGAAGATTCTTGACACATGAGACTGAACTCTTGCTGCTGTGTTTACTGGCTGCTACTGTTGCTGATCAAATATATCTGGGCCACCAGAAACATCTTCATAAAAGTGGAAATTGCAACTTCACCACTTCGTTTTGTTTTTGTTTTTTTGAGGGGTGCTCCCAAGCAGTGCTCAAGAGACCAGGGCCCCACAGGTGATTTACAACCAATTGAGCTGGCAGTTCTGTGCCGGAACCTGGGATGTGATGCTGCTTGGGCCCTCAGTGTTGGAAATACCAGGTACCCTGGAGGTTCTGGGGGCCCCAGGGCTGTGCCTGTCCTTGTGGTGTTGGAACTGAAACCTGGGTTGGCCACAGGCATGTACCCAAACTACTATGTTAGCTCCTCCTCCTCTCCCTCCTACCCTCCTCCTCCTCTTCCTCTTCCCCCTCCTCCTCATCCTCTCCCTCATTCCCTCCTCCTCCTACTCCTCTTTTCTCTTCATCCTCCTCTTCTCCTCCTCTTCCCCCTCTTCCTCCTCCTCCTCCTATTCCCCCTCCTCCTCTTCCTCGTCCTCGTCCTCCTCCTCCTCCTCCTCCTCCTCCTCCTCCTCTTCTTCTTCTTCTTCTTCTTCTTCTTCTTCTTCTTCTTCTTCTTCTTCTTCTTCTTCTTCTTCTTCTTCTTCTTCTCCTCCTTCTCCTTCTCCTCCTTCTCCTTCTCCTCCTTCTCCTTCTTCTTCCACTTCTCCTTCTTCTTCTCCTTCTTTTTCTCCTTCTCCTTCTCCTCCTCCTCCTATGTTGATCACATTCAACATTATGACAAAAGACCCACCATTATTATTTGGAATTTTCCCCAACAATCAGACCTGCCAAAAAGACATTATTAGATAATTTGTTTTCTATTGCTGATTATGAAGAGCATATGGTGTTGCGCGGCTGCTACTGTAGCCGTGCAATTTTGGACTTCTGATATTCTAATAATAGTCTGGAGGGATTACTGCTAAGAGCCACTGAGTTCTAAGATTGGTTTGTGTGCCTCTGGGATCATGGTCGTTCCTAAGCTGGAGGAGGCATTCATGGGTGGCAACTCAGGGCCTTGTCAGGGCGGGGAGCAGGGCCAGTTTCATCCCCCATCCCACGAGGCCCCGTGTGCCTTGTCACTGCAGTCTCATACCTGGCTGTCCATTAGGCTCTGAAAGGTAGCAGCCACCATGTCGCCACTGCCAAGGGCAAAAGGTGAAGGGACAGGCACCCTTCCCCACCTGGGGCAACATGGCGCTGTAGTTTAATGCACAGTCCAGATGCATTTAGGTTGGGAATTTTATTTTGCTCAGAATTTCCTACCACCATTCAAGCCTGCCTTGACAGGGACAGATGCTAGATAATTTACTTTCCATTGCTCACTTTGCATATCAGGAAAGGTCACGTGGCTGTGTAAGTGGCTGAGCAGTTCAGAAGAATAGTCCTGGTGCCCACATACCAGAGCCATGCTTGTAGAAGCTCATGGTTGCCAGGATTCTATCTGGAGAAGGCAGGGAGACACAACCTGCCCCATCTGGGACCTCCTGGCGATATGGGCTTGGTACAGGGCCCGGAGAATTCTCCGAGTGTTGTGGAGCCCGCCAGCCAGGTTTCTTCACTGCTGTGTGCCTTCTTTTTCTTCTTCTTCTCATTCTCCTCTTCCTTCTCCTTCTTCTTCGTCTCCTCCTCCTTCTCCTTCCTTCCTTCTTCTCATCCTTCCTCTCCTCTTTCTTCTCCTTCCTCTTTTGTTCCTCTTCTTTCTCCTCCTCTTCTTTTCCTCCTTCTACTCCTCCTTCTCCTTCTCCTCCTTCCTTCTTATCCTCCTTTCTCTCCTCCTCTTTCCTCTCCTTCCTCTCTTCCTCCTCTTCTTTATCCTCTTCTTACTTTCCTTTCCCTCTTCTTTCTCTTCCTCTTCTTTCTTCTTCCTCCTCTTCTTCTTCCTCCTCTTCCCCCTTTTGATATTCTGTGAGTATCTTGAGGGGAGGATGGCATGCATATGAATTGGATCTTTATGTACTTTGAATTCTATGTAATATAAGACTTATGGCATAGTGGCTAGTATAAAGTTGTGGAAGAGATAAATGAATGTGCCAATTTCCACACTTGCTAAAAGGATTTGGTTATCTGCACTCTCAGAAGAGCTGGGTGTGACTGCTTTTTAAAATAGCGCCTATCTAGCAGGAGGAAAAATACGAAAGTTAAGTCAACATTTTAGTCTAGATTGTTTTCTTCTGCTTAAAATGTGGGTCAAAAGCTATAATTTGCAGGCCAAAGATGGGCCCCCACAATTTTTGTAAATAAAGTGTTATTGGAACACAGCCCTGTTTGCTAGATTGTGATTTAAAGTTTATGTGTTATAGTCTATGGCTGCTTTCATTTCAAGAGCAGAGACTAGCAGTTTCACAGAGACTGGAAAATGTACCTGATGTAAGATGCTGGCTACCTGAGTCTTCACCAAGAAGTTTGCTGACCCCACCTTAGCGGAATCCAGTCAGGGTCACCTTTGTGTTCCTGAAACTGTGGGTAAATGTTGTAGCACTGCCTATAGATTTGGATAATCAAGCTCATAGCGAAGAGTTTTTGATCATTTGAGTTAAAGCATGCCAGCAGCTATTAAGAATAACTAACCTTCATTCTTTGACATCTTGTCTCACATCTCCAGTTTAAAAAGAAACTGCTTCATCTACTCTTACCTGGCTCCCTAACCTCCCTTTTAGTCTCTGTTGATTAAACAGAAACAATTTAGACCTGTAATCAGGGATATGAAGATGGAACAAGGATGAGACCAATAAGAGCCTTGCTAAGGATGTTTATGTATTAATCCTCTTTCTTTTTAAGTCAACATCTAGGGGCTGGAGAGAGAGTGCAGGGGTTAAGGACCTTACTTGCCTTGCATCCCAGCAACCCTGCTTCAATCCCCAGTCCCACTTTTGGTCCCTGAGCACTTCCAGGTCTGACCCAAAAACAAACCAAAACAAACAGCAAACGACTCCCCCTCTCCCCGAAAAACAAAATCAACATCTAATTCTCTACTGAAGAGAAAGTGTACATTAGAAACATGTGAGAATGTTCACTGAGCATTGCCTGTAAAAACAAAATCTAAATCAGACTATCAGGAGGAGTGGACA